AAACTTCGGGCGCATCTACTTACGTCGAACAGTGCCCCTAAGCCTGCCCCAAAAACTCTGCAATGCGCCCAAAATCGTTGCTAGCTGGGTTAGAACCTGGTTTGAAGAAAGCTTTAAAGCTTTTCGAGAAGATGAATTACCATCAATGTGTCTGTAATCAGTTAAAAAGTCAGATATATATTGTGAGAGAATCCAAATCAAACAACTTTGAGCCACATGAGAAGCATGAATCTGTTGTGCTTGTGTGTATTTTGGGGAACTAAAAGAAACTGAAGCCCCTAAAGGGTAAGTGTTATGTATGCTTATTAATGCTTAATGTACTAGATGCAAATACATGAACCAGGACTGCCTTTACTAGAGCCAGTGTTAACAGCCACTCGATATGTTGCAAAACGATTTACAAAATTAATAAAATACAATGATCTGGCGAGTGTACGAACGGTCACAGTTAAAGGTAAGACTTTACTTAGCAAGAATAACGTTTTGGGTTGTGGTCTACGATCGCTGATTTTCTCGATGTTGTGATTTCTCCGTGACTATAAACACGGATTTCCATGATTTTTTTAAAGAAAACTTTAAATAAATTTTCTTTGAACCAGTGGTCTTCTTTTTCTTGGCGAAACTTCTGTTGATACGATTAGGTAGCGAAGTAGGATGTTCTTTGACTGAGAATCGTAGTCATTGTGTTTCGGACTAATTTCGCGCATCTGACTGTTGTAAACTCGAATTGCACAAGCCTCTGCAATTGCAAGCATCTTCTTGTTTCTTTGTCTGCTGACATCTAAAGTACTTCCACTGTGTTTAAAGGCGAATTATTTGGGATCGTTAAAGGCTTTAAGTGAAGGTTGAAGATTAAGTAAGAATAACTTTTCCATAGCTTTTAGAAAAGGGAAGGTAATAGCAATAGGTCTAAATTTAAAACATGTTCCATTAGACGACTTAGGTACAGGTACAATTTTAATGTCCTTCCAAACGGCTGGCACAACATTTCTGGAAAAAGATTCATTAAATATGTAAGAGGATAACACAGGATATCTGCACATTTTCTAAGAATAAGGCTAGGCAAACAATCTGGAACTAGGCTACAAGAAGGGTTCAACGACTGGAGATATTTTAGAACGTCATTTGTATTGAAACCAAGGAAGCAACTCTTATTAACACTTGTGACACCAGAAACCTTGGCATTTGTGGGAGAATGTACGAATGACTTGTTTGCCGTACATACATCAAATGAATAGGAAATACTGTTGTAATACTGGAGGTAATTAGATGCATAAAGGCGTGAGTTATTTAATATTCATAAAGTAGATGTGCAAACACCGCAGTTGTTGATCATAGAAATGATGGATATTAGATAACATCACATGATTCAATGGCATATTAGAAATAGATGAAAATTGTTTCTTTGCTCACTGTCAAGTGAACAGTCTACTTGATGATGTCACTGCGTATTAACAGATTAGTGAAGTAGCTATCAAGCCCAAGTTATCACATTTACTTGTACATCATACTTGGCGTTTAACAGTATACAGACTTGCAACTGGCTAGATAAGGCGATTTTAGCGTATGGAACAGCACAGAATTATTATTTAACTTGCTAAATCCTACCAAGTTTTTACAATGTGCTACTGTATAGAAACAGACACGAAATATGACGAATGGCTAAAGTAACAGTCTCATAATACTGCAGTAAATCTCCATCCCACTAGCTAAGCTTAACATGAATTGATCCGAATTCACTTATTACAAAAGCACATAGTATAGCGACGCACTGAAAAAGTCTAGAGGAAGTAGAAATCAAGAGTATATTTAACTATGATTAATTTACAAAAGAAAATCCCGATGAAGAGTATTAAGGTTAGTTTAACCGAATGATATTTCCGCTGATTTCATACTCGACAACCTCCGTATAACTGAAAAAAATAAAGCGACAAAATGGGTGATCGGCCTCCGCAACAAATCATACGAGGAAAGACTGAAGAAATTAGGTCTTTTCACACTTAGTTACCATAGTCACAGGGGAGATCTCATCACCGTCTATAAGATCTTAAATGACCAGGCCCACCCTAATGAAAGCATCCCGCCATTAAGTGATTATAGGCTTCTACTAGGTAACCCGCTAAGAATAGCACACTAGAGACCAAAGACTCGAGTGCGTTCACATTTCTTTTCGCTTCTAGTTTGCCGTCTCTGGAACGCTTTACTGGCGGCCGTAACTACAGCGCCATCTGTGGAGACTTTTAAGCGGAAGCTGGACAATCATGCAGAAATGCATGATTTGTGTCTCAATGGCTTATCCTCTTAAAATTTGAAACCACACCGTCAATGGATAAGCATACAAGCTAAATCCCCACGATCCGTTCTGTCTTCTCTCACTGTACAGACTACTCCATCTTTTCTTTGGTCACCTTTGTTATTTCACCTTTATTATTTCACTTATCTCGACCTATATTATCTACACTACAACCTATTATTACTATTCCACTTTTATGACTACACCGAATGACCAACGGGTGTTACGTCAAACTCCATTCACGGCAGCAACTGAGTCCCAACATACTGCACACTACAAACCACATCTTGACCAATCCTCGCACCACTCCTCTTGGAGTCTACCAGAGCTAAAGCAGTCGAGTGGCGGGATTTACTACGCATAAGTTCACCGAAGATCTGGAACCTCTACCTTACAATCAAGAAGCGAGCTCAAAGAAATCACTGGTTTATACTAGCTCGTAATCAGGATATTGGATATTGGATGTAATGACTAGCACAACATGAAGTTATGAAAGATAATTCTACGTATTAGCACACACTATGAATACACTGATTCTGTTAATACTAAGTAACATCTCATGCAAATAAATGTATTTGTAGTTTACGGCTGGTTTTTATATTGACACCATAAGCGTCAATAGACCTCATATGTTTACCAGTATTAAAGGATTATACGCAAATGTCAAGACAATCTTTGAAACTTCCATACTGTTGAGGCGTCATACTCTCATCAACCTTACTTGCAGATCAACTTCACACTAAATACGTTTACATTAAATGAAGTATTGCAAATGTGTAACTTAGAAATTGATCCATAATCTCAGTACTGTCTAATGAGCATAGTTTTATGAATCCTACAGAAATTACATTCTAAAATTAAGGAATCTGTAGTCATCAAATATAAGCTGAACATGCTTCAACTCTAAAAAGCTATGCACAGTGTTAGCAGCATAGAGAAGCACTTGAAATATTGTAAGATACGCAAACCTGTTGTGTTGATGAGGATAAGAATGACATTTAATGCAACCTAGACATTCGATCGTGACACTGCATCTGTACTGCTTCATGTTAATGGAAAATTCAGGAAAAATTCATCACCACTATTGGTGATCAAAAACATTGCAGCATTAAGTTTACAGTGCCATTGAGAATGGCATAACAGACAGTAGATTGATATTAATAGAGCTGACTAGATTCAGTTCTCATAATCGACATAATCCATGTGTATAATAATACTATACACTGAATTAATGCACTAAGTGACACAGTAAGGAAATTTAAACAAGTGATTGCCTTCTCCACTGCACTGCACTTGCAATAATCATGACAACCACCTACGTTTGCCAGCCAAGCAGTCAGCTTAGCAATGGCACAATATTAATAAAGTTGAGATATTTTTTATACATTGAGTCCACATAACTCATATTACGCTGCACCAAACAGTGCAAATATACATGAAATACACTTAGAAATAACCTCTCAACTTACGATAATTCCTGTCCAAACAAACATACGATGAGACACATCTACGTGATTACTTCTATTCTCACAGAAGGTTCTGTTAGCATTTACAGGTGATTTCCAAGTACTGATAGAATTCTTTTGTCAAAAAGGACTGTTCTTCACACGAAAAAAGGCTGAATTAATATCCTGAGACGTGAAGCCCCCATTGAATGATACCATGCCGAAAGGTGCAGCATCTAAATAAAGTAGACTATTTGTGTAGATGACATTACCCTTCAACTATCCTATCTTTCTCATTATAGCGATATTTTGCTACAGTTCGCCTGAAACACTGATCATTGCAACCAATATGCTAAAGGGGCGTCGCAGTCGGATTACATGACGCGGACACCAAAATAACTAGCCAGAAAATGGGAATTCCGATTAATCATATATAGCACAATTTTATTAAAAATTATTGACAAAAAAATTTCCAAGTGAAATTTTAACAGCTGTTCCAGAAAGTGATATTTAACGTCAGCCATCAATCAGCGATGACGTCGGCTGAAATTATCCCGCATGCTCAAGGTCATTGATGGAGTGAGACGCTCAAAGGTCATTTTCGTCCATGTTAGTCGGTTATGTTGGATTGCAGTTCCATAGCCGTTCGTTTACACATTCGTTTTATGTTCTGTTGGCATTTATAGGTGATTCCCATGTACTGATAACATTCTTTTGTAAAATATTACTGTTCTTCACACGAAAATAGCCACATTTTGACGTAGTCTTCATTGAATGACACTATATCGAAAGCTGCAGCTTCTACAAGAAATAAACTATTTGTGTAGATGACATTACCCACCAACTACCCCATCTTCTTCATTGTAGAGATGTTTTGACGCATTCAGCATGAAACACTAATCATTACAACCAATATGCTGAGTGTGTCGCAGTCAGATTAGACGACGCAGACACCATCATAACTAGCCAGGAAATGAGAATTCCTATCAATCCAGAAAACATACAACAAAATTTTATTAAAAACTATTGACAAAACAAATTTGCCGAGCGAAATTTCAACCAACATGCCGGATAAGTCCAGCCATGACGTCGAATTATCCAATGAGATTCACGAACGTAGTTCAATGTTGTATAGCGCTTGATTCATTTCAGTGAGTGCCCTTACAAGGTTACGTTTGCAGTTCGAGGAGGATAGTGTAGTTCAGTATTGCCTAGACTTAGACTTGCTAAGAAAGGAGAGAAGGTGTCCCTGTGGTGGTGTTATGACTCTGAAAAGCTATTCGAGGTCAACTGATGGATTTGTCCATCGTTGTGGAATATGTTGGAAACGAGTTAGTATTAGAGAGGGTAAGCTGCTAATTTTATTATTTCGTAGGAACATTTTTGCTAGGTCGCATCTCTCTCTAACCCAGATTTTGTATATCTGAAACTATTGGGTACTGAAGCAGCCAGTGAGAGCGGCAGCTGCGGAGACGGAGAACAGCCTGGTCTCAACAGTCCAATGGTATCAGCATTGTAGAGACATCGCATCATGGAAAATGGACAGAATTACTTCGCTGTTAGGCGGGGAGGACGTAGTAGTGCATGTAGACGAGACGGTGTTGATAAAGAAGAAATATAATCGGGGTCACCAGAGAGCAAACAACATTTGGGTTATCGGTTTATATGACACGTCCCTTCGAAAAGAGTTTGTTGAAAGAATAGGAGACAGGAAGGCGAGCACTTTGATACCTATTATAACTCGGCTTGTCAAAACAGGATCAATTGTGCATACAGACGATCCTGTTTTGACAAGCCGAGTTATAATAGGTATCAAAGTGCTCGCCTTCCTGTCTCCTATTCTTTCAACAAACTCTTTTCGAAGGGACGTGTCATATAAACCGATAACCCAAATGTTGTTTGCTCTCTGGCGACCCCGATTATATTTCTTCTTTATCAACACCGTCTCGTCTACATGCACTACTACGTCCTCCCCGCCTAACAGCGAAGTAATTCTGTCCATTTTCCATGATGCGATGTCTCTACAATGCTGATACCATTGGACTGTTGAGACCAGGCTGTTCTCCGTCTCCGCAGCTGCCGCTCTCACTGGCTGCTTCAGTACCCAATAGTTTCAGATATACAAAATCTGGGTTAGAGAGAGATGCGACCTAGCAAAAATGTTCCTACGAAATAATAAAATTAGCAGCTTACCCTCTCTAATACTAACTCGTTTCCAACATATTCCACAACGATGGACAAATCCATCAGTTGACCTCGAATAGCTTTTCAGAGTCATAACACCACCACAGGGACACCTTCTCTCCTTTCTTAGCAAGTCTAAGTCTAGGCAATACTGAACTACACTATCCTCCTCGAACTGCAAACGTAACCTTGTAAGGGCACTCACTGAAATGAATCAAGCGCTATACAACATTGAACTACGTTCGTGAATCTCATTGGATAATTCGACTTCATTGCTGATTGGTAGTTATTGGTGTCTAAAGTTTAACTTGGCCCTGTGCCCACCCTTTTACTTTCGTGAGGAGCAGCAACTGCAGTAATGCTTAGCTGGCGGAGGCTATGAACGCGTGTTCACAAAGAGCATTTCAGTAGGAAGACCATAGTCTACTCACTGTAGACCGTACTAGGTCATTTATGGGAACTTCCGATCCAAAGGACTGTAATGCATAGAAATGTACAGCAGAGGTATTAAGTAAATAGAGAAGCATAAGGGTTTTGTGGATCTGGGAGTGTATACATTTCCCCTATAAACCATATCACCAATAGTGTCAAGACATTGTTCCTTGGCATCCTTAGCTCCCCAGTTATGTACTGTACACCTTCCCCCTACATGGTTGAAACCAAATTAAAAGATTTCATGTATTGATCCTAGATTTTGATCTGGTCAGCCCTAACTCTTTTCCAACCTAAGCCTTATCAAGAATGTACTTGTCGAACAGCACAGGTCTATCGGAAACGTGAATGTAAGCCTCATGTTCTTTATAAACATGTACATGAGAAATTAAAACATGTGAGAGTGTAAATTTCATTCAATAAGTATCTACATTTTAAACCAAAGAATAGTATAATTGTTTAGTCTAAATGGTTTCACTTCACCCAACTTCGTGTAAAAGACCACATGTAACTGTTTTCCCTTCATTAACAAAATTTCTGGTGATTTTGTGGATTGTATAGTAGTATTATAGTACTTAAGTTCATCGGTTTTAAGACATTTTGTTCTTCATCAAATCAATTCTGAATCGGGTGCTTATTTTTCGTATATGACTTACGGTCATTCTGAAGCTTAAGGTCTCATAACTCATAAAATTCCAGGATATGGTTTCTAAATACTAAAAATTTATGTTTTGTTTCTTACAACTGAGGTTTTTTCATATTTTCTCGTGAATTCATTCAGCTTATACTTATCCTTATATTAAACTACAACTCTTGACCTTATGGGTTCATTGCACGCTTTGCAGAGATTAAACTAAATTTCTACGCTCCATATTCTGTTGATATTATTTGACATTTTTAGGCGTCGTATGTTTCTAATCATGTTACACATTCTTAAACTCTTTCCGTTTTGTTTCAGGTAATTTTTTGCAAGAGAAGATGCTCAGGATAATTATTGTCGATAAACAGTTGCGTATGTTACGTCCAAATGAAAGTTTTCCAACATTCTCATACTATCAACTGTTGTGTATGCTGTCAAAAGCTGTTATAACTAATCTTTGTTCTCTAAAGAATAATGATTTTCTGTCTGTAGTAAGTTTTTCTTTATGTTGTTTTCAACTGACTTTTTGTACTAGTTTTTATATCACAACAGATTGATGGCATAGTTTACACTGTATCTCTAGTTTTAAGTAGTATGACTAGGTGAGTAGTGCTGAAGGTAGGCTCAGTGTTAGGTAAGAAGGAAAAGTCACTAGATGAGTTTGTGAAAGTGAATCGTTTGAGATGACTTGAGCACGTGTTACACATGCCAAGCCACCTTCCCCATCAAGTAATGTTAGGTAATACAGGATTGGGTTGGAGAAAAGTTAGGAACAGTGCGACCATAAGTTGGCATCAAAGCATGAGATTTCTGATAGTTGGTTTGAACCAGCCACTTAGAGGATTATAGGCTACCTAATTGGGGTCACTGGGCTGCTAAGAACCAATGGTTTGAGATTGTTGGTAGTGATATGGCTCAAAATAGTTCCCAGTGGGGTCTCCATGTTTTTCGATGTCCTTATTCTTTCTCCCCTATATTTCTGCCTACTATAGTTCTTTTGATTTATCGCTCTCCTTCTGCCTTTGTATGCTACATGGAATATGTCAACCTAAACTGCAGCATTTCTGTATTGAAACTCAGTTAGCCAGTTAGTTCAGGATGTTGTCCCTTAATTATTATGCCTCTGTTTTCTTTGCACATTGTTGTTTTATTATTTTGCGTGAGATACCTCTTAGTGCCTATTTTGAAACAAGTTTGGGATTTTAATAATAATGATTATGGTTTCCTACGAACGCTGTTTTTATGTCTGTTTATATCTTGTCTTCTTCATGAAACAGTACTAATATCGAGCGTTCTATAAAACGAAATCAAACTTAAGAGAACAATGGAATCGTTCACCAGTATAACTTCAAGTGTAATTACTCACCATAATAACAAAATAATAGGTATTTCATATAAATTAAACCAAACTTAACGGAACAGTTTTTTACTGTAGACCTTTACAAAAATGGGTCCTGAAGTTCAAGTTGCTCTGTTAAACAGAAGCACACAGTAAGGTAGAGAAAAACTAAACAGAAATGTAAGGAAACTATAGTAAATGGAAATTTACAGAAGAGAAAATAGTTACGTAAACAATATTAAGGATGGCGAACAATGATTGCATCTACGCGTTTGTGAACGATTTTGAGTCATATCACCACTAGTTCTTACTGTCTCGAGAACCCCGGTTGAACAGACTATACCCACATATATTTTACGGATAGATGCCATGTTTTGAAGTATGTCATGTAATTAATGTAAGTGTAGGATTTGAGCACTGTAGTGGAATATAACTCCACATTAGGTAAGTTTATTTTTTGGTATTAGATGGTTGGAGGCAATCGGCAGGAAGCATTGGACCTAGGTTTCGTGTTAGTTGGCACTCATCAGCAAGGCGTATCTGAAACCTTGAAGGAACTGATGTCCCTTCTGAGATTCGAACCCGCGTCACACGGTGCTGCAGTCAGAGACGTTACCACTGAGCTATTCAGGCTCGCGACTGACCTCCTGTAGGACTGTATTGGATATTTTTGATTGCACACTAGTCAGTAACTAGTGTAATGCGTCTAGTCCTATCTTCGGTGCATACTGAATTCTATCAGTCATGTTTGCAATGTGGCCACTATGCTAGGTGGCTCGCCATTACGGAAGGAACTGATGTCCCTTCTGAGATTCGAACCCACGTCAAGGTTGCAGATACGCCTTGCTGATGAGTGCCAACTAGCACGAAACCTAGGTCCAAGGCTTCCTGCCGATTGCCTCCAACCATCTAATACGAACAATTCACAGTGCACCGTAATGGCGAGCCACCTAGCATGGTGGCCACATTGCAAACATGACTGATAGAATTCAGTCTGCACCGAAGATAGGACTAGACGCATTACACTAGTTACTGACTAGTGTGCAATCAAAAAGTTTATATTTTATAGCACACCGTGATGCAGTATTGACATTAGGATGATGTTTTGAGCACAATTGATTACTCATAACCATACCAATGTATTTACACGTCTTCGTAATTGGCTCTATATATTTTTCACTTCCCCTTGCTATCCACTGTAATTTTCCATTTATCCGGTATAGGCGTTGTGTCATATCAGTTGTACGTGTTTGGTGTTGATTCAATGAACAATGATTCAGTGATTAGTCTCTCTCTCTGTCTTAACTATATTACCTGTTAACAATTTCATCCTGTTCCATTCAAGTGAATGTATTGCGATGGCCTAGCTTTTTTCTAAGTTGTTTAACTTAGCAGGGTCAGTCATGCTAGGTCTGGCTAAATCTCTATTTTCTAATGAGCCAATTGACCTTGGTCTACTAGTTCGACTTACGTAACTGATCTCAGAGTCATTGCATGGTATTTAGCAAACTACATTATATTTCTTAGTTGGGTATATTGAGTCCTTGATCGGACGATGTTTGTCTCTGAGTGATTAGGTTGACTGGTTCAAATGCCCCCCATAACTCCAGCCCCATTAAGAATCCTATGTAGGGCCTCTTATGTTCTTTCTTTATACGGCAGTACTACACAGGCTTTGAATTCCGTATTATTTGTTATTTTCATCATTTTCATTACTACTCCTATTTTTCCTGAGTCTTCACATACACTTTTAAATAAAATCTAGTGGGTAGTTGATAACTAATAGTGTTTTCCCCACTTGTTTGATTGTATTATTTAAATCTTCTGACTGGTTAGGTTCCTGGCTCGATTATATGAACCATTAACTAGAGCTACCTTTAGCGATTTTGGTGGATTAGATACCAGCATCCATAAAAAGACCTTGATACGCCCTGACAAATATGCAACGCCTAACCAGATATATTAATAATAATAATAATAATCACTTTATAATAAATAACAAAAGGGGAAGAAAAAAAGTGTATAAAGTAAATTATAAAACCGTGTGAATACATTGATGATATGCTTATGAGCAGCAATAAATTGTACTTGAAACGCCGTCATCCAGTTATAATTACTATGCCACTGTTATTAGAAAATAAACTTATCTATTATGGAATTATATTATGTTGTAATTGGTTGAAAGTTTTAGTATCTTTATTTAAGATATTTATATCACATCCCAAATCAATTGTATTTTGCCTCTTTGTTTTTATATTTTTTGCTTTTTCCTGTAAAGTATGATAAAGACGTATCCAAATCAAAAGGTGGACTGCTTAACACATTTTCATCTGATGCCTCCAATTTATGCAGTGAAATTGATCAAAGTCAACAAAATACTAAAGTGTTACATACTACTGAAGTGACTGCTGCATTAATTGGTAACATATTAATGGAAGCCTATGCTTATTACGGACCATGGTCAAATATTCAGGTATATATATATATATATATATATATATATATATATATATATGGTTGTGGACCTGTGATTCATTCATCTAGCCACTCAACTGTCAAACCAGTGACTTGTATAGTTTAAACTTGATTGAATACATATATCTAGGCTTCGTTAGTACCTAAATACAAAATATGTGGTTCATTATCCACTATGGATGATCTTGTGTGAATGACGATGGGTTGAATCCGGCCTTCCCCACGGAATCCTCTCATGTTGTCATCCGCTCATTGTCTTTATCAAATAAATCCTATTCACTATCTCGCAACTGGAGTTGTGGTTGCAAAAGTAGAAGGGTGAATACGTATGTCTGGCGCCCGTCGCAAGATTAGTAGAGGTTGCACCGTGGGTTATGTGTGTGTGTGTTGGAAAATGCTGATTCCGAACCTATGATACGCATGGTCGCCATATATTTTTTTCAATGCTTTTTTGTATGGTGCACCTCTTAGTGCCTATATTATACCTTATATATATATGCTAATGGTTGTAGATCTGTGACTTGCTTATCTAGGTACCCCACTTTTGCATACAATGTTCGCCAGCCGGGTTCGACTCTCAGCCGACTCACTCCTAAATCTCTCCTAGTTTACTAGCCTGTAGTACTCTGGGAATGGTAAGAAGATTAGATGGAAAGCTAGTCGTCGCATCCCGTAAAACACTACTGCTACTGAAACTTCTAAGCTTAAAACTCGAGGCTTTATGTTCCATAATTTTTGGTCGTTAGTGGCCAAATTGATAACTTCATTGTATTGGTTTATTTGCTCAAAATTTGATTTCAATATACTGCTATTATTTTAGATAGCTTGTTTTAAACCCAAACAAGATATAAACCGGTAAAATAATTTCTTTAGTTAAAACTCAGTTATCCAGAAAAGATTTCTGATGTATGAGGCTATAGGCGCCGATTCATAACACTACTCATTTGCCCAAACTGAAGTAGAAGTGGTGTGGCTTTCGAACCTGAGTTTCATTGATTGAAATCTAAATGCTTAAGTTAATGGGTCACATTTCTACGTAAAACTGAACTAATCTTTATTTTCGAGTGTTACTACTTTCCGGTTTTCAGTGGTTCTCTTACTGCAGTCAGCTGGGGATCGATCGTGAAATCAATCAAATCCCTGCAAACCAATACTTAAAATTTAATCTCGTACTCTCTAGTGACTTACTACAGGATAAAGTTGCTTAAAGTTCTAGTGGGAAGTCGTGATCAATGGAGTTCACTAAGTTGGGCGTTAGAACATTTACTCACCGATGACATTGGCTGGCGGTGGCGCTCTATCGTGGATTGGTAGCAGGTAGAATTGATGAGCCATCGGACTGCGACTCACTGGCTGAATAGTCAGCGAACTCGCCTTGTAACCTGCTGAGTCGTCTCAAACTAGGACTGGCTGACTTGTTTCAACATTGAACTTTGCACAAATGTGCAGCATTTCTAGTTGCCACTCTCCATGTAGCACACAAACCAGGACGAAATAGCCGTCTACTGGTTAAAATCAGCTCGTGATCAAACTTAAAATCTGCATTTCATTTATTTTAGTTGGAGAAATACTTCAGGCAAAATAATTTCCTAAACATCACTAATAGAGATAGTTGTTAGTCTGTAAATACTGGAAATTATGCTGATTATTTCTAACAGTGTGTAGTACTACATATAAGTTACTAAGTAGTAGTACTCTTTGACATTAAAGTTGAATTCTACTCTTTTTTTTTTTGAAAATTTATCAGATCCTACTCTTCACAGATGGTGGATCATCTCATTTCACACTTTCATCATTCACCTGGCCTGAAAATTTCCCTGAAAGTCTGTACAGTACTGTTTCAATACTATTTATTAGTTTAAGTGATAAAAAGGTGAGTGTTTTTAAGAAGATGTATTTTTCCTTTTGATAAAAAAAATCTTTTTTTTACACGATCATATGTGTATCACAATCTGCTAACCACACCACACTTGCTGCTGGTTCGATTCCCGGCCAATGGTGCACTCTTAAACCTCTCTTAACTGATAGTAAGTCTAGCAAAAAGGAGAAGATTGGTCTAGTAACTTCATCCTGTTAAAAAATGACACTACCGCTACTGAAACTGAAAAGCTCATGCTTGAAGCCACATGTTTCACTCGAAAAGTAAAGGAATAAAAACAATAGCTATAGTATGGTAGTGTAGTCCGAGACGCCTGTTCCGTCCTATTTGGAACTAGTCTACTGGATGTCCCTGAATCCCAGTGACTGAAGGTTCCTCTCAGTCCTAAAATGTGGCTATCTTAGCTCAGCATCCTGGTGATTAGTACTATAGTGTGTTTAAAACGATGGGTGATACGTCCAAGTCTTTTGAATGCAAACGCATCCAGTTGACAAGTTGTAAATAAAGCTACATACGCGTCCTGGATTCCACCACTGGTATTTACCATTAAGCACCAAATAACACTGTAGGAAGTTCATTTTATGCAAAACATTTATGGTGGCTATATAAGAATACGATTTGGTTTTTAAAAATTGAACGGTCCACGATATTTTTTTACTGGCAATCTAGTCTTTTTAAGAAACATTTGTGCGGTCAATTATTTCATCTCTGTTTCTAAGTTCTCAGCTTACTAATCATCATTATTCCTTCTTTGCGTTCCATTCCGAGTGGAATAAAGGGATTCAGCAGCACGCCTCCATTAGGTTGTTGGCCGGTTGACTATCTTCCAGAGTCCCTTGTAGTTTACTCCTTCAAGCTGAGCAGCTGGTCTTCATTACTATCGAGCAAAAGCATCTGTTGGTGAAAGCTTGCAACAGGCTGTTTAAAATGATTTTGGTGACACATGTTTCAAGTCTCTGAAGTAAATAGAGGCACTGATTTGACATGAGTGTTCAAAATTCATATCATTAGCTCAATTATTATTAATAATACTTCCTTGTATATAATGTATACATGATATGAAATCTGATTGACTGATTGGTTTCAACGTAGAACTTTGCACAGATGTGCAGCAGTTCGAGTTGCCACACTCCACGTAGTGCACAAAGCCAAAGAAGAGAGTAGAGAAAAATTCAAAATAGAGATAATAAACAGAAATATGAGACAAAAAAATAGTAATATGGTAGAACAATAGAGTTTTATTGGATATCATAAGTCATAAGGGTTGGATGCATCTGCGACAGCCATTGATAACGATTTTGAGCCATATCACCAATTGTCACCAGCCTCCCGAGGAATTCAACCGCGGGAAGTCTACATTTTCTTACGTGGCTTAAACTAACTCTTGTGGATTTCATTGACTGATGAAGCCATATTTTCGTTTGACCATCACTAGCTAACTCTTTTCCAACCTGATCCTATGTCAGTCATCTAACATTGCCCGCCGAGGAAGGTGATGGTTAGGCTAGGCATGCGTAACACATGTCCTAACCACCTCTCCCAATCGGTTTGACTTCACAACTTCGTTGATTAATTTCCCCTCCCTACCTAGTAGCACTCGACCGACGCCTAACCTCAATATTGCTCACCCTATTGTACCACTTCGCACGGGAGATAGAACGTAGGCACCTATGATCAAAGACAGCTAGCCAGGCTTCTTCACGTCTTCTACTCTCAGTGGCCACGCCTTACTAACAGCCGTAAAGGAGGACGAAGAGGACTGCGGAGCAGTACGCTCGCCCTTTGGTTAATAGCCGGATATGATATGAAATCACTGAAGATGGAGAAGTGAAGACATGGTTCATTTTGTCTTATGCATTGAATTTACACTCAGTATTTCACTGACTGACTGGTTCATTCAGTTTTAGCGTAGAACTTTTCATAGAAATAAGGTAGTACAAGTTGCCACACTCCATATAGCAGCACAGAAAGGTAGAGAAAATAAGAAAAATTCAAATGAACTGTAGTAATGGGCAGAGAAATTTACGGGAAAAAGAAGTGTAACATTGAGCGGCATTGGGACTTAATAGACCTGAGAGATTACAAAGAGTGAATGCACCTGCGCCATTTAGAGCGGTAATGAACCGAATCACCAAAAGCCTCAAACCAGTCTACATTTCCCTACATGATTGGCTCATCATAATAATAAATTAAGATATCATGTCTTGATTTGACCCAATACCTAACTCTTTTCCAACCTAATTCTATGTCAATTAACATTGCTCGATGAAGAAGGTGGTGCTTACGTAACACGTGTCCTAACCATCTCAACCGATATAACTTCACAACCGCATCGATCAGCTTTCCCTCCTTACTGTAACACTTTACACCTAATCTTTATGGGTCCCCCCTTCAAATCTCTCTCTGCTTATTTCATCCTGAGCAACTGAGGGTAGTATAGTCATCCTTCAGTGCAGTAACTGCAAAGCTCGTGGAAATAAAACCTCTGAAGGGTAACTGAGTTCTAATCCAACCTTGATGTGAGCGCTTTCATAATTGATTTCAAGTTAGGTTGTGTAATAATCTCTCTAACACTATTTATGAACTGAAATTTTCAGTTATAGAATGGTATCTGTTGGATAAATAGAGAGTACAGGTCAAGAGAGTGAGGGATTACTGAACAACTTTTTCAGTTTGACTTTAGATTTCTCAGTAGTAATATTCCTTCAATTAACACTGTACGTCATCGTATTTCATTTTTCTAGTCTCAGTCGGTTTACAAAGTAACGTTATTATTTCCTTTTATCATCGATAAATAACATTCACCACTCACTCCTATCACGGTTGACTATTTCAAGAAATCGATTTGAGTATGGAATTGCAAATTGATTGCTAAAAGACGGATTCATTGACTGTAAAAACATATCTTCTAACCAATCAAAATAATGAAATGTTACTCAACAGCCACTGGCGATTCCATATACAACTGGCTATGAGCCACACCTATTCTGTGTGGGCGTTAATGATACTGCCTGGCTGCTTAAACCTCGATGGGGTAGTGGGGTTTGAAACAATGGAAATTTAGAGTCTAAACCAATGAGCCACATTTACTGAGGCACTATCCATTAGGGTCATTGACCATCCTCAGGGTTAGGTGCATGCATGTAGCACACAACCCTTCTTGAATCCTGCACACAGCCATTAAGTCACATACTATCCCCATCGCCCAATCAATACGTCCTGAATTTGCGATCTCAATTCCTGTAAAAAGAGTAAAAACCACAAGAATATTTCATACTTTCCTATGTAACCAATTAACAATTTCCTAACAACTGGCCTATTTCACAAGAATAACTCACTCTATAGCTAAAATAACTACCCAACCGATAGCTGCCACCTCGACTTGGTGGCACTAAGTTTGCACATTGAAATGACCCAACGAGATATGCTGGCTGGAACTGATGTTTGCACAGGACCTACCACACCAGAAAGGTCGTTTGGATAGTGGTCAGACTAAAGGCAGTTACCATGATAGTGTAAATCGTTAATAATATGATGAGGTTCCGCTGCCGAAGTTGTATTGCTGCTGGCGAATATGAGTGCAAAAGTAGTAAGGTGTTTCCTTCAGAGATGACTAGCAAGCCAGGTGTGTTACCTCTCCGTACTGGAGAGGGTTGGTAGAGTAGAAAATGTCGATTGCGAAAATTGTACATCGTGACTTACCTTTTGACCGTCAGGAGCTCGTGGTAGGATCTTCTTTACACGCATATACCTCTAAAAACCTATCTAAAGTGGCCTTGAGTGACTGGCGTCAAGTAGTTGGCTCTGCAATCACCCAATCGTAACACTCTTTCTGATTCAGGTATTTCAAAAACAAATCAGCTTCTACGGTGTGAGCAGCTGAGAACTAATGACCATGTGTACACTTCCAGGCAAAATAATTGATGTTGCAATTTATATCATCATTAAAATTTAGTTGAACTGTTAGGTTTTATTACTTCAGTTTGCCATCAACATTTCTGTCATTCATGTTTAGAGTTTCTGGAGGGATTTTTATGAGTTACAGTGTAGATTTTGTTATGAAGCAACATATCATTTAGAGAACTTTATGAAAAACCAAATCTGACTGTTTGATGCTCTTCAGCAGTATGCATCCACTACCACGGCAGCGCTCGAACCCAAATGGATGATATAATGGCAATGTTAAAGACTGCCACTTGATAAAAACTGGCTCTACATGAGACATAATGAACCCCACCAGCCATGACTTTCTCTTAGGAATTCAGGACGTCCGTCTTGTAAAGCAACTAATGAACTTCGTAATATGAAGGTAATGGGGTTCGATTCATAGTGAGATTGTTGTTTTAAACTGTTATATTACCTGTTATAACACTATTTACCAATTTTGTGTGTGTATGTGGTCACACATACACAGGGAGGAGTAATCGCGCTTTGCATGTGAGGGTGGGAGAGCATATCCCAAATTGGTTAGAAAAACAAAGGAATTGTGAAAAACCAATAGATGCAGGTGTCAGACTACCAACTTCGTCTATAGCTAAACACCTAATAGAGATGAACCATAAAATTGATGTTAACTCATCTATAAAAACGGTCAAGGGCGTTTATTGAAATAGGCCGAGGCTATAGCTATTCATAAACTTAAGCCCCCCGCCCCCTGTGTATTCAAAAACAGTTTATTATTACTCTTAACCTACCTTGGTAATCCTTATTTGATTGGATTACCAAACGTTGTGTTAATCATTCTTAAATCTTTTTTTTGTCACTTTGTTTAATTTAACTTTTTCATATATATTGACTTGACAAGTAAATGTGTGATCAGATTGTTCGAAATGTATAGCGCAAATACATCACATTTTTCAGATAATCTCCGTCTTCTAATAACGCTATCCAAATTTATAAAAGGGACTAATTGTTTTAAATGTTATAACATCACAAACTAGAATGAAATGTTTGTCTGGTTGAGAAAATTTGTAGCTCAGACGGGTGATTTAGTTGTGTTCTCCGAGCTGGTTAATTTATTGAGAAGCTTTCGTAGTCCTCCTAGACAACAACTTTAACGCAAACCTTGATATGAAGTGAAGTTAAGTGAATTGTTTCTCCACGAATTCTGTAATTGTATCCCATGAAAACGCTTATCGAGATTGACTGTTGGTTTACATCTTTATTGATCATTTTTATCGACTTTGAGTTTACCTTTTTTGTTTTGTTGAGTTTATTCATTATTGGTTGGGAAAATTTGATCTATACTAATGTGTCTGTTAATTGCTTATTCATCTTAGTATATTCATCAGTCTCAGCCCAGTGCCCTTTTTCACCTCAGAGGTAACTTCGAGTTATTAAGTCTGCTACGCGAATGAGGTGTCTGTTAAACCAGCCCGTTTACCCAAATCAGATGGATCTGTTTAACCATATTTAGCAACGAGAGAAACAAACCCACAAGCATGAATAAATAAATAAATCAAGATCATACTCACAACTGCACAAAAAGTCCTGGCTCTCGTTGACCACTGGATAAAGCTTTGAAGGTGGTTTAAAGCCATGGGTAACATGTTCGAGACCAGTGACTGTAACATCACCTACTGTAGGATACAGCCTCATCTAGATGACAAGTTGTAGAGTGAGAAAACATATGAATTCTCGATTCTACAACTCTCATCACCATAGAAAAATTAATTTCGAGTTCCCGGAACTAGTAATATCAAGGCATCTACTTGTTTAAGGAGCCCATACAGACAACTGAGACTATTCAATACGCTACAGATATATATATATATATCTTATCAAATATAATGAATATTTCTCAAATAATAGCTAGAATACGAAAACCATTTGAAACAGATGTGGGACATTAATAATCAACGCAACCACCACTTCATTCACAATCGTGCAGACTGAAAGCTGCTACAGCAAAACACGACAAGATCAATACCATCTACAAAATGAATTGCATAAACTGTGATAAACACCACAAGTGGTCGTTCCCATCGACTCACAGTCCCACAACACATAGAGTAGCTGTCAAAACACACGACATGTATTCCTCCATATCATCGATATGCATGAAGACAACTATGGACACTGATTCGAATGAGAGAATGTAGGAATTCAAAACTCAACGGAAACACCCAAAAGATGTCAGCTGGTAATATACCTAGAAGCCTAGTACCCCTCAGATGAATTGAATAAGCACATAAACATACACATTACTATAGATCGAATTTATCAACTATAATAAAAAGAACGAAAAGTGTTCAAATTCCAAGTTGAGAAAAACGATCAATACAGATGTGCATTAACCAACCAATCACAATCATGAATAAGAGTGGTGGTGGTGGTCATCAAGAGATACAAATACATAACATAATTCATCATGAAACAATGAACAATCCAAATAAGTCGACTTCGTATTGAAACTTGCTGTGAAGTTGTGTTGTCTAGAAGGAGGAGGAGGAGGATGAAAACTTCACAATTGAATCACATCAGACTCAAAGAACAAGCCGGAGACGTTTGTAACTGTCTAATAATAATATTCTTACTTCTTTTTCTTTTCAGCTTTCTAATGATCTGTTGGAGGTGTATAATAAATTTCATTTGAAATCAGCAATCCTTGAAGGTAGTAAATACATTTCAAATCCCAAAGGTAATGTTTGACGTCTTGATTTGCTTAAGAAAGAAATCTATATTATTATTGTTATAATAATTATAATGATAATGATAATATTTATTATTACAGAATATACTGTTCAAGGATATGTGGATAATTTAGCTGAACATGTTGTTAACAAGTGTCATGAAATGTATCCAGATAGTCAAAATGTAGTCATAAATTGTGGACGTCTTCAAAGTTCGGCAACATTGATATCCTCTCCGGGTATTCATTTTACCACTGAGTAAGTAGATAGAGTGAGAGGTGTTTATGTTCCATTTCTATTTTTCTTTTTTTTGTATGTGTGTGACTCATTTCAGACAAGAGCTTTGCTAAGTTGTGAACCAATCGATATTTAACACAGAAAAGGCTGCTGTGATGGCTGACTAGCCTAGTGGATGTAGCTTTGGCATCATTGATGAAATGATAGGGTACTTGATTCGAGTTTCATTAAGAATACCATCATTAACTTATCCAACGAATGAGTCCCAAAACAGGACGAAACTCTCATGTCTCTACTGAATATTCCACTGCTAACCTGCAGATTTCCACACTGATTTCAGATCAATGAAAGTCTGTCTTGTTTTTCCAATCCTGGCTTTGACATCTTTGTCCGTGCTTCCTGTGGTTGAAACGCTTCTTCCTAGGTAGTCGGAAGAAGTGACCTCCTCCAGATTCCTGCCATTGATAATGAATGGTGCTTGTTGATGTTGTTTCTGATGCTGATTAGGTATCTTCGAGATGAACTGACGTAATAATAAGAAGGATCATAAAGATGATAAGATAAAAAATATACAAGAATTTCGGATCAAAGATAGATTCGGGTAATAATGATTTCTTTAAGAAAATAAACTTTTTATAATGGCTGTGGGAAAGACAAGAGTAAGATGTACTTCTTTTGAATTCGTAGTTTTATCGTGGAACTTTTAGATCACTAATGTTTCAGCTATGCCCAAATATCTTTATCTTACTACCTTTGAGTGGTTTGATTGGGTCTTGTGTATGTGACCTTGGAGGATGGCTGAGCTATTTTCTAGATTTCTTATCTGATTAACGTCAGCTAATCTATATTTAGGAAAAAACAACATTTTCAATTAGTTCCTCATCATCGGCTGGTTCTACACTAGTTTGTGGTTTTTTACATCAGAATTTTTTACCAATCAAGGAGTTATTTTAGTTAATCAGTATTAGATATAGGTAGAAGCGAGGTGAACTTATCTTTGATTGCACACTAGTCAGTAACTGGCGTAATGTGTCTAGTCCTATCTTCGGTGAACTTAAGAGGTTAAAGGTCATCAAAACAGTTAACTAATAAATGTTAGTAAGAAGATATCTAAATTTTGAAGGAGGGGTGAAAATTAATTACGGAATTCAAGATAAGTTGGTTCTCACGCGTTTTTTTATCCTTCACGTTCCCCAGTGGAACACAGGGCTTCAAGCTAGTGGCTTGAAGTTTCTGTAGCAGTGTTTATTTTACAGGATGAGGTTGCTAGCCTCATGCCCAACCTTTCCTCTTTACCAGTATTATTTCTGGCTTAGCGAGGTAAAGGAGTGCGTCGGCCGGGGTTCGAACCCCGGACCCTGTGCATGGTCGGCGAGCGTCCTAACCGCTATGCCACCGACGCATCTTACGCGTCAGTAACAAGTTATTACGTAATCAAGAAATTTGTAAAATAATGATAACTAAGAAGAATAGGATGACTCGGAAGATATATGTAAAATTAGGTAGAATTGTAAAAAAAATAACAAAATCAAAGGATTGTTACAAGGGGAGAGGAAAAATCATTTTTAAAAACTTAATACATATTATGTAGTTGGCCATGGCAAAGCAAGAGGCTGTACAAATTTCTTTTGAACACACAGATTTGTCGTGTTCAGATGAATTCTGATCACCTCTGCTGTATGTTAAGTCATACTCATAGACCATGAGAAAGGTTAGGTGAAATACGATAAATAACTTTAAAAGTTTTGTTAATGTCGATTTTATGTCTGCTGTTGACGAGATGAGCTAGTATTGACCTACGTATAGCTTTATTTGGACCTTTGCCAAACCAAGATGGGAGGTGTTCAGAAATTCGATGATGAACCTGCCTGATCGTACGTCCAATGTAACTAGCTCCGCATGAGCGGTTAAACTGGTAAATACACATGGAAGAGGCGGAGCAGGGCAGTCTGTCTTTATTTCTTGAACTAAGTATTGATCGGCTAGTGATTACACAGCATAGCTTAGCTGCGTTGAAAGTTGTTGTGATAAGATCCCATTATTAGCATTACCCGTGAATAGTAATCCCAGGAAGACTGATTTTTCGGGAACAGTCAGCGCCTTCGACTCTTTAATTTCCAGGTTCATGTGTTTGTTCTCGAATTTAGTTGAATATCCGTTTCTACTCAGTAGATCACGAATATTACGGAGTTCTTCGTTATTTTTGTTTGGTTTTTATGATCAACTGCTGTATTTGACCTGACAGTCATTTAGCAGGTTAGCAGATAAACTAACTAACTATTTTGTTTAATAAACAATCGATTTTTTCTATTCCTTCGCGTTTCAAGTGGAATATATAACTTCAAGCTTGAGGTATGAAGTTTCAGTAGAGATGGTGTCTTTTCCTACGGCGTGAGTTCGATAGCCTTACATCAAACCTTCCCTGTTCACCAGGTTTACTTACTACTGGCGAAGCAGGGTAAAGGAGTGCGTTGGCTGGGAGTAGGACACCGAGCCTCCAAAGCCTCAGAATGGTCGGGGGTGGGTGCCTTGCGCTGCGGGTTGGCCACCCCTCCGCACACCTCTTGAAATGCTCCCATATGACCGGGCGTCTTACATAGCCTCTCCTGAGGAAGTCCTACTCACTGCCTTCACGTGGCGGAGGTGTTTTTCACTAAAGTGAGAGGGCGAAAGCGGATGCCCGGCGCTCTTCACCGGGTTGACTGTCTATTGGATGACAGTCTAGGGGAGATGGCTAAACCCTGATTCCAAACCTCCAACGACTGGCGTATGAAGCTCACTGGAGCTCACTGGCAGACGTATGGACAAAGGGCTTGTTGGATTTCCTGGATGTCTGGCCCCATTCAAAAAGGCGTATGAACCGAACTCCGGTCACCGGCTGCCAATGGATAGTGGACTCCCTACTCCACTCCTACTGCCTTGTAGGTCACACTTGGTTGTGTAAAGGCTAGAGCTGCACTCTCGAACAAAAGGCCGAGCGATTCTGGGGATATCACTCGTACCAAATTACCATGAAACTTCATGAACTCTCTTCATCAGATCGCCGCGCCTGGGCAGCGATGCTTCGAGATGTTCATGAAGCCGGCTCATCCTTCCGTAGGAGATAGCCGAAGTAGACTAGAGAGACCGGGCTACGTGTGGGGTATGGTTGGCGAGCATTTTCCACCATTGCACTAGTGGTACAAAAGCAATTGACACTACTTGGGATTTTATTTCCTCCTTTTTTCTTCTTCTTAAATCATCAATGTCTCTGAATACTATGCAGGCACATACTTGTAATTTGTATTTGTGTTTCTTTATTCCCCTGGTATATTTTAAATAGATCAGACAATATGATTATTGATTCACTTTATATGGAGATATTTGGTTTTCTTAATCTCAGTGATTTAAATAATCCACCAGTAAATGGACGTTTTATTGTAGTCAGTAAACAACAGTCAACAGGTAATTCGGTAAAATATTCCTTATTCATATACTTAGTATTTTCCTATATATACATATATATATATATATATATATATATATATATACATATGCTTTGAACTTATCGTAGCGACTCAATTGATTTTCTATAGTTAGAATGGCTGGCTCTGATGTCAATTTCTTCTCTTTTTCTGGGTTTAAAATCGGCAAATAATCTACTGTTAACTAGTAAAGTAGGCGATGTTTGCGGGTGTGTGTGCGTGTGTTATGTTCTTTGAGCTGATGGATGATGGTTTAAATTGTGAAGCCGGTTGTTGTTCTACACACAACACATCTTTAATGTGTAAAGTGAGTTATTTTCAGGATAATCCTTGTAACATATAACTGTCTTTTTAATGGTCTTGACCGAGAGGATCTCCTTCTTCTTCTTCCATTCACTTGTATTGTGTATTGGTATCGATACTGTTCCACACATTGAGTCACTGTGGATCTGTTCTCTATCGAATAGATCTGTATGTCTGTTAAGTGAAGACTGATCTGATTACCTAAGCAAAGTTAAGGAGTGTGTCGAACCCCGGACCACGTGCGTGGTTGGCCCCAAGTAGCCCAGTGCTTAGGGCTCAGGGGAATGCAGGTGTATCCAATTGATGAGTCCCAAGTGGAAAAAAGTTCGCACCGTAGATTCCACTGCTATTCACCACCAAATAACGTCAATCAACCACCGCATCACTGTCTGTTTCAGTTATTATAATCTGTCTGTCTGTCTGTTTTCGACATAGAACTTTGCACATATGTGCGGCAGTTCAAGTCGCCACAATCCATGTAGCACGCAAAGCAAGAGAAGGAAGTAGAAGAAATGCATAATATAGACAGTAAACAGAGGTGTGAGACAAAGGAATAGTAATAACGGAGAACAAAACAGTTTAATTGGAAATCATAAGTCACAAGGAGTGGATGCATCTGCACCCGCCATTGAGAACGATTTTGAGCCATGTCACCAATAGTTTCCAACCATTGGTTTTTGCCGTCCCGAGGACCCCAACCAGGAAGTCTACACCTTCCTACGTGGCTTAGATTAACTGTTGTGGATTTCATTGATTGGTGCCATGTTTTATTATAATAAGTGATATATCCCACTTTCTTACTGATTCATGATCAGTTCCTTTTTGTTTTTCTATTTTTCTTTAAATTCAGTTGATGAACCAGATTTCCTTTGTCTACTTTTGGAAGCATTGAAGACAACTAAATCTGCTGCAGTGTGTAATATTTATGTAATAATGACAAGTAATAAGTCATTACAAAAGATTCAATTAAATTAGATATAACTCAAGAATCAGATCCAAGTTATTCATCTGAACGCCACAATCATAAATATCATCATCATCACCATCAAAGTCAACACCGCTCAGAAAACCAAAAGCAAGAGCATATTAAGAATTCATTGAACCGTACATTTTGGACACATGGCTATCTACATCATATTGACTTGAAAAAATCAATTCTAGTTCTATCAGTGTTTGAAAAAGGTCAGTTTTTATTAATGATTCTCGATTTCCTGTTTATATATATATATATATATATATATATATGGTTGTGTTCTTTGAGTTTGATGTGATTCAATTGTGAAGCTTTCATCCTCCTCCTCCTTCTAGACAACATAACTTCACAGCAAGTTTCAATATGAAGTCGACTTATTTCGATTGTCCATTGTTTCATAATGAATTGTGTATTTGTATCCCTTGATGACCACCACCACTACTCTTATTCATGACTGTGATTGGTTGGTTAATGCACATCTGTATTGATCGTTTTTCTCAACTTGGAATTTGAAAACTTTTCGTTCTTTTTATTATAGTTGATAAATTCGATCTATAGTAATGTGTATGTTTATGTGCTTATTCAATTCATCTGAGGAGTACTAGGCTTCTAGGTATATTACCACCTGACATATTTTGGGTGTTTCCGTTGAGTTTCGAATTCTTACATTCTGTCATTCGAATTAGTGTCCATAGTTGTCTGCATGCATATCGATGATATGGGGGAATACATGTCGTGTGTTTTGACAGCCACTCTGTGTGTTGTGACAATGTGAGTCGATGGGAACGACCAATTGTGGTGTTTATCACAGTTTATGCAATTCATTTTGTAGATGGTATTGATCTTGTCGTGTTTTGCTGTAGCAGCTTTCAGTCTGCACGATTGTGAATGAAGTGGTGGTTGCGTTGATTATTAATGTCCCACATCTGTTTCAAATGGTTTTCGTATTCTAGCTATTATTTGAGAAATATTCATTATATTTGATAAGATATATATATATATATAAATCTGTAGTATATTGAATAGTCTCAGTTGTCTGTATGGACTCCTTAAACAAGTAGATGCCTTGATATTACTAGTTTCCGGAACTCGAAATTAACTTTTATATGATGATGAGAGAGTTGTAGAATCGAGAATTCGTGTGTTTTCTCACTCTACAACTTGTCATCTAGATGAAGCTGTATCCTACAGTAGGTGATGTTACAGTCACTGGTCTCGAACACTTTACCCATGGCTTTAAACCACCTTCAAAGCTTTATCCAGTGGTCAACGAGAGCCAGGACTTTTTGTGCAGTTGTGAGTATCATCTGGATTTATTTATTTATTTATTCATGCTTGTGGGTTTGTTTCTCTCGTTGCTAAATATGGTTAAGTAAATCAACTCACAGAAATTATATTAAAAAAGCAAAATATTCAAACAACGATCTCATTCTTCGCTGAAATCGGAGAGGCGAAATGACATGGCTTTGTTAAAGCCTTTGTGAAGACACTCAGTCTATTTGTCTTCTCTCGATGAAAGCAAGAATAAGAATGGGAACGTGGAATGTACGTACTATGTGCGAGACTGGGACGGCTGCCCAACTAGCCAAAGAAATGAGAAGATATTGCATAGAAGTGCTGGGTTTCTGCGAGAGCGGATGCTACGTATGTGGATTATCCAAATTGTCAACTGGAGTGTCAGTAATCGACTCCAGTCTGGTCACTCAGACGACAACCACGAGCACACTGAGCCAGTGAGTGTCTATAATGATGTCACCAGTGGCAGCCAAAGCCATAATGTAGTGGGAACCCGTATCATCAAGTATCATGACAGCCAAGATCCAACTCAAACGGAAGGAAGGTTACAATTATCCAATGCTATGCACAGTACTACAATCAACGCGGAACAAGAGAAGAATGAAGATTTTTACAGACAACTACAAACAATAATGGACAACATCCCAAATGGTGACATCAAAATCCTCGTGGGCTATATGAGCGCCAATCTGGGAGCAGATAATACAGGAAGAGAACTCATCATGGGTCGAGAGACTCTGGCTTGGAGAAATGAATGAGAACGGAGAATTATTTGGAAACTTCAGCGCTTTCAACGATTTGGTGATTGGAGGCAGCGTGTACAAGTACAAGGATATACACAAAGCAACATGAACTTCACCTAATGGACACACCACGAACCAGATAGACGTCATCTCAATACTGCTGGACACAAAGTCGATAAGGGGAGCATATGTGGACTCAGACCATCATCTAGTTCTAGGAGCCTTCAAGATGAAACTGAAACCCTTCATAATAACTGGAGACAGGCCACAATTCAATTCAATATTCAGAAATTGAAGGACGAAATTACAAGGGATGCCTTCACTACAGATCAGAGCAAAGTCAGAGACACTACATGGCATCACTGAAGAAGCCTGTGCGGAAGGACATTGGAAATAACTCTCTGAAGCTGATGTTCAAAGAAACGTGTACAACTGTTCTAGGGAGAAAGGGGAGACACGACAAAGAATGGCTGTCAACGGACACTTACGTGGAAGCTAATAGCAGAGAGGAGAGGAGGATGGTGAAAGAGAAGATGACTCAATGCAAAGATGGACAACAGAAGGAGAAGCTGAGTTCAGTGTACGCTGCATTGAATAAAGCAGTAAAGAAGAGTGCTAGGAAAGGCAAACGACTATTCTACGACATAATGTTCGGTAACTGAAGCAGAACAGGCTGCAGTCAAAAGAGATTTCAGGAGATTCTGTCAAATAACCAGGTCTCTATCTGGAAAGAGATCAACCCAGATGATGAAACCAATAAAAGAAGCTCAGGAGAACCCGATTACGAAGGAGGAAAAACATGAAACAGTGGGCTGATCACTTTGAAGTACTGTTCAATAGAATGTCACCTGCTTTTATCAACAGCTGCCTTCGCTCCATACTGAAGATCAAATGGTCAGAAAGAATTAGCAACAAAAAACCCTGGGAAGGAACCAACCATGAGCCGATCGCCCAACAAATATGTAGGAGAAAATTTAGGTGGATGGAACGGGCATACATTGACGAGACCGTCGAATGACATCGCGTACCAGTCCACTGCTTGAATGGAATCTAAATGGGAAGCGATTAGTGGGTCGTCAGTACGAGGCAGATTCTGAGTCAGTTATCAGTGATTTGTGGTTTCCCAGCCTCCAGTAACTTGATTGCATTCAGAATTTCTGCTTTCGTTAGAGGATTGGTGTCCACTGGTAGGGAGTTCTGTGCGTGCTGTGGGTGATGGTGTATTTCTGGGCGAGTAGCAGGTGACATTCTATTGAACAGTACTTCAAAGTGATCAGCCCACTGTTTCATGTTTTTCCTCCTTCGTAATCGGGTTCTCCTGAGCTTCTTTTATTGGTTTCATCATCTGGGTTGATCTCTTTCCAGATAGAGACCTGGTTATTTGACAGAATCTCCTGAAATCTCTTTTGACTGCAGCCTGTTCTGCTTCAGTTACCGAACATTATGTCGTAGAATAGTCGTTTGCCTTTCCTAGCACTCTTCTTTACTGCTTTATTCAATGCAGCGTACACTGAACTCAGCTTCTCCTTCTGTTGTCCATCTTTGCATTGAGTCATCTTCTCTTTCACCATCCTCCTCTCCTCTCTGCTATTAGCTTCCACGTAAGTGTCCGTTGACAGCCATTCTTTGTCGTGTCTCCCCTTTCTCCCTAGAACAGTTGTACACGTTTCTTTGAACATCAGCTTCAGAGAGTTATTTCCAATGTCCTTCCGCACAGGCTTCTTCAGTGATGCCATGTAGTGTCTCTGACTTTGCTCTGATCTGTAGTGAAGGCATCCCTTGTAATTTCGTCCTTCAATTTCTGAATATTGAATTGAATTGTGGCCTGTCTCCAGTTATTATGAAGGGTTTCAGTTTCATCTTGAAGGCTCCTAGAACTAGATGATGGTCTGAGTCCACATATGCTCCCCTTATCGACTTTGTGTCCAGCAGTATTGAGATGACGTCTATCTGGTTCGTGGTGTGTCCATTAGGTGAAGTTCATGTTGCTTTGTGTATATCCTTGTACTTGTACACGCTGCCTCCAATCACCAAATCGTTGAAAGCGCTGAAGTTTCCAAATAATTCTCCGTTCTCATTCATTTCTCCAAGCCAGAGTCTCTCGACCCATGATGAGTTCTCTTCCTGTATTATCTGCTCCCAGATTGGCGCTCATATAGCCCACGAGGATTTTGATGTCACCATTTGGGATGTTGTCCATTATTGTTTGTAGTTGTCTGTAAAAATCTTCATTCTTCTCTTGTTCCGCGTTGATTGTAGTACTGTGCATAGCATTGGATAATTGTAACCTTCCTTCCGTTTGAGTTGGATCTTGGCTGTCATGATACTTGATGATACGGGTTCCCACTACATTATGGCTTTGGCTGCCACTGGTGACATCATTATAGACACTCACTGGCTCAGTGTGCTCGTGGTTGTCGTCTGAGTGACCAGACTGGAGTCGATTACTGACACTCCAGTTGACAATTTGGATAATCCACATACGTAGCATCCGCTCTCGCAGAAACCCAGCACTTCTATGCAATATCTTCTCATTTCTTTGGCTAGTTGGGCAGCCGTCCCAGTCTCGCACATAGTACGTACATTCCACGTTCCCATTCTTATTCTTGCTTTCATCGAGAGAAGACAAATAGACTGAGTGTCTTCACAAAGGCTTTAACAAAGCCATGTCATTTCGCCTCTCCGATTTCAGCGAAGAATGAGATCGTTGTTTGAATATTTTGCTTTTTTAATATAATTTCTGTGAGTTGATTTACTTAACCATATTTAGCAACGAGAGAAACAAACCCACAAGCATGAATAAATAAATAAATAAATCCAGATGATACTCACAACTGCACAAAAAGTCCTGGCTCTCGTTGACCACTGGATAAAGCTTTGAAGGTGGTTTAAAGCCATGGGTAAAGTGTTCGAGACCAGTGACTGTAACATCACCTACTGTAGGATACAGCTTCATCTAGATGACAAGTTGTAGAGTGAGAAAACACACGAATTCTCGATTCTACAACTCTCTCATCATCATATAAAAGTTAATTTCGAGTTCCCGGAACTAGTAATATCAAGGCATCTACTTGTTTAAGGAGCCCATACAGACAACTGAGACTATTCAATACGCTACAGATATATATATATATATCTTATCAAATATAATGAATATTTCTCAAATAATAGCTAGAATACGAAAACCATTTGAAACAGATGTGGGACATTAATAATCAACGCAACCACCACTTCATTCACCATCGTGCAGACTGAAAGCTGCAACAGCAAAAGACGACAAGATCAATACCATCTACAAAATGAATTGCATAAACTGTGATAAACACCACAATTGGTCGTTCCCATCGACTCACATTGTCACAACACACAGAGTGGCTGTCAAAACACACGACATGTCTTCTTCCATATCATCGATATGCATGCAGACAACTATGGACACTAATTCGAATGACAGAATGTAAGAATTCGAAACAGGTGGATGTGACCTAGGATTTATTAATTTACATTCTTTCTGTCGAATTCATTAAGTTTTGTTTGCCTGTTGGCTCTTCTTCTTATGATAAGATTTTTGAAATAGGGTATTGTAAATCACGAACCTCATTGATTAAATCCTCCCATAAATGATCTGTTACGGCGGAGGGTGGGTAGGCTTCAGTCTTCATGTCAAAATACCCCCACCCCCCAACAGATGTAAAGGCGAATGCGAATGTCTGGCGCTTACAACCGGACTGGTGGACATGTAGGTTTACTTACCTAGGAGAGCTGGGAAATCCTGATTCTAAACCTTCTTTGCACATGGGCTTCACAATCCGAAAAGGTTGAATGGTGTGTGAACCTATTTTAGTCACCAGGATCCATGGGAACTTAGATCCTGACACTGCCCCACTAACTTGTGAATTAGACTTCATGTCGAAGGGCCGAATAAGGGGTGAATCCTAAAGACAACCATCTGGTTCGGCCTGGGTAGTATCCTTTCTCTCACACACAAACTGTGAGATTTTGTGTGGTGCCCATAATGTTCCAAGTTTTCATTTTAAAATAAATTTGATTAAAACCACGTATCCTTTTTAACTCCTATGTGTCCTGTAGGAATCTTAATAGGGATATAGAGATGCGACTGATTGAATTAACCAGTCGGTTTTCAGCCGACTGGTAAAGGAGCTTAAGTCTCGCTCCATCTACTTCAGCCAAGGCAGCTGAGTGGTATATGTGGGTTTTGAGCTTGTCTCATGGAAAATCTACTCCAGGTAATTCAGTTCAAAGAAACAAAATTAATGGGGACTTTGTTGAATCCCAATTTGAGGGTATATTTGACTGATTTGCTCCATTATGAGTAAATTTTATTTTGATAGAGTCTCACAGTGTTATACAGTAATATTTACTGATGACGTTTCGAGCACAATTTATTGCTCATAATCATATCAAGTTAATCACACGACTTCTTAAATTCATTTATATAGTTCCATTGTTTTTCACTTGATTTATACTTGATTTGATTGGTAGTATTGACTGATTTGACTAAATAACCGGTGAACCAAATGTTCAGGTGGTTTGAACTGAGTCTAGTCGGGTATACTTTTGATGAGATCGGCGCCAAACGAACGAAACGACCGTCCAGTGTCTAGATCACTTCGATCTGACTAGCAAGCAATACTAGGTGATGTAAGTGGTATACAACTACTCATCTAAACCAACCAGTAGTATGTAATTCTACGCATTTGTATCCTCAATTAAATTTATGGTTACCATATTTATGAAGAAGCCTTGTATCTCCATAGTATTGCTGTCTTTTTTCTTCCAATTTCTAGATTGTACTGGTCTGCCTTGGCTTGGTCAATTCAGTCATTTGGCTCCAGTAACAGATTTTGCTGGTTCACAATTGTATGATGATGTTAATGGCACTTCACCATTCCCCGTTCGTACACCGGATTATTTAAGTTACAAAACTGGTAAGTATTGCCGGTATATATTTCTTCCTCATCTTCGTCAAGTCTTGACTGGCCTGGTTGGAGTCACCAAGACTCTGGGAACCAGTAGCTTGTGACTCTTGCTGATCAAATTAACAAAGTGGCTAGCTAGATGGCTAGGACATGTGTCATGCATTTCAAGCCATCTTACCGCCTTAATCATTGACCGATGTTAGCTGACATGGGATTATGTTGGAAAAGAGTTAAAGGAAGAGGGGTTAGTCAAATGAAGATAGCATCTTTGAACGAAGTCTTTGACTATTATTGATCATCATCATTGTAAATATATCATCTGAGATATTCTGAAAGTTTACTGCACATTGAAGTTAGCACAATGAATATGTTGTCCAGAAGGATAATCTGAAAACCTTTCAATTATGAAGCATACTTCTCAACAAAAAGAATTTGTGCATTTGTTCACAGAATTTGAATATAAATCAGCGATTATGAAAATCCATGTGATATGAAAGAGATTATAAATTGAATGTGATTTGTCCAGAAGTATCATTGAATGTGCGTCGACGGTGGCTCAATGGTAGAACGCTTGCCAACCACATCACCCATGACTGCCCAGGCTCGATCCCCGGCCGACGCACTCCTTTACCTCGTTAAGCCAGAAATAATGCTGGTGAAGAGGAAAGGTTGGGCATGAGGCTAGCAACCCCATCCTGTAAAATAAACACTGCTACAGAAACTTCAACCTATTAGCTTGAAGCCCTATTTTCCACTGGGGAACGTGAAGGAAAAAAAACCACCCTAGCAACAGAGTACGACGCTAAAATTAACGGGGATATGTAATAAAACCACCCCGATACACTACATTTCATGTGTGTAGAAACTGTAGATTGATATATTTTCAGAAATAATTTTTGTAATCCGATTGGATTCTGGAGCCCATGTACCCCATGGTAACTGCTTTTAGTCTAACCGCTATCCAAACAACTTTCCAGACATGGTAGGTCCTGCAGGAACATGAGTCCCAGCCAGTTTACCTTGTTGGTATTCAAGCCCGACCACCACGACAAGGTAGCAGTTGTTGGCCGGGCCTTTAGTCATTTCAACGTATGTCTTCTCACTTACACGCATGACTTTCCTCATGATCCAGTCCATTACAATAAGAAATATCATCGGTGATACTGAATTGCCTTGTCTTACTCCTATCTTCACTTCAAAGTCTTCACTGAGCTGTCCGTTGTGAATCACTTGGCAGTCAACATCGTCATATAGCTGTTGAATGAGGTTGATAAAGGTTTGGAGTAGTGATTAGTGTTGAAGCAGTTTCCAAATCACTTTGCAGTCAATGCTGTTGAAGTCTTTTTCAAAATCGGTGAAGTTGAATGGTGCTTAATAATTAATAGCCACTCTTTCCTGTTGATTTTTATTTGAATATTTTCTTGAGAATTTTGTTGTTCTTTTTATTCTCTAAAAATTCTTACTTCTCCATAGATTCTACACGTTATGTTTCCTGGTCTTCACAGTCTGCAATGCTGATGGATATTAACAAAGTGTTTAGATTAAGTCGACGTTTACCTGACAAGTCTGCATTATTATATAAGGTGAGTATACTCTATTTATTTTTAGAATAATCTGGATGGCATTCAAAGTATTAGGTGTGTTCTGTGGCGGAGTAACCAGTGTTATGCACCACCGAGTCCTTTAGTGGTACTAATTCACTCACTCCTATGAGTGATGTTTGTGATGTACACTGACCAAGCTGTGAGCCTCGTCGTCACGATATACTTTCACTTGATGGATTATTTTTTTAATGATCATTTGGAAAATAAACTGGGCACAATATAGTACACAGTTGATGGATAGAGAAATAAACTGGAAAACGCATGATATTGTTTACTGCCTAGTGACCAATTTGTGTATCCATCCCCTGTCAACCATGTGAACGAATTTTAAAACAATAAGGATATTTTATGCTTTTCTGTGTAACCAATTAACATTTTTCTAATGATTGGCCTATTTCATAAGAATAACTCACCCTATAGCTAAAATAAATTACCCAACCGCCTCAACTCGGTGGCAATGAACTTACACATCGAAATGCCCCAGCGAAGTATACTGGCTGGAACTGATGTTTACACAGGACCTACCACGCCAGAAAGGTCGTTTGGATAGTGGTCAGACTAAAGGCAGTTACCATGATAGTATAAGTCGTTGATAATATGTTGAGGTTCTGCTTGCGAATAGGAGTGCAAAAGTAGTAAGGTGTTTCCTTCAGAGATGACCAGCAAGCCAGATGTGTCACCTTTCCGTACTGGAGAGGGTAGGTAGATTAGAAAATATCGATTGCGAAAATTGTACATGGTGATTTACCTTTTGACCGTCAGGAGCTCGTGGTAGGATCTTCTTTACACGCATATAACTCTGAAAGCCATCCTAAAGTGGCCGTGTTTGACTGGCGTCAAGCAATTGTCCCTTGAGTTGTATTGTCACAAGTATTTCAAGAGGTCAACTTTCACGGTGTTGGGTGGCAGCCTGGAAGTAACAACCTCCTACCCCTTACCCCACACTTCCATAACTATACAAACTTTTCTTATGATCACTTTCTGCGTAAGTTTGACGTCTAAACATTCATCAAATAAACTCTGAAGTAAATAGCGAGTAGTGCTTTTATTAACACTGTCTGTTTAACTTGTGTTATGACGTTTATCATCTTATAATTGTATTTCCTTTTCTCGATTAGTCTGTTCGCTTATCTTTCTATCTGTCTCTCTTTTCTGGTTAACCTTATTCATAGGAGTTGAATCGACTTCGTTCTGCGGCCACACTCTATGGATGTCCAGACTTGTTACTAAAAATTCATTCAATGATTATGTCAATGCATGAATCATCTATTACTCAGCATAGCAATATCAATAACGATCATATTAAAGCACTACAGGATTGTTTAAATCATGTCAGTCGATTGTTACTTCAACAAGAAGTCGATAGTCACGGTGATAATGAAGCTGATGGTGATGCATCGAACAAGAGGATGATTACTGTATCTTCTTCTGATAAAAGCTGAAAAAGAATTCTTTCTTTTGTTGTTGTAAATAAGTTCACAAGTATATTCCATTTTGTATATACAAAAAAATCTTTTTGTCAACAAGGAATGAATTTTTTTTTAATTTGTCCAATTTCAATCATTAATGTCATCACGAATCGACTTCAGTTAGAGAACCAGTGTAAACCAGGGAGTACCGGAGAACTGTTTCTTCTTGCAGAATCCTTAGTTCATCTTTTGAGCATATAACTCTATCCCTGTGGCTGAGAGTCCTTACTAAATTTCTTTTGTATTGGAGAGGAAGAAAGCTATGAAAATGTGTATATTGTCTTGTCTATGTGCTTTTCCTATGCAAATTTCTCTTTATACTACCATCTGGTTTTTTGTAAGGAGGACATCTAGGAAGGTAATTCTGTTTTTGGATTCCTCTTCGCACGTGAATTTCATAGTAGAATGTATTTCATTGGATTGAGTTATTATTGTGTTCCTATCCGGATCATTATCACAAAGAATAAAGATGTCATCCCTTTAAAGGATCAAGTTGTCCGAAGTTCTATTAGGAAGTCACGATCTGTGGGGTCCTTGCAAGTTGGGTATAAGGAAAGATACTCACCGTTGGCCTTGGCTGGTGGTAGCGCTATTTCGCCGATTGACAGAAGTAGGAATTGATAGATTCCGTCTGAGTGTGTCTTAATGGGTACAGACTTTTGAAGAGCCTCAAAGAAGGACGAAACAGTTGTGTAATATCCGCTGGTTTACAGTTGTTCTTTAACTGAAGTGTTTAACTTTACAAACAGTTCGTTGAGATTGAGATTTGTCACTCAGTGGGAGGAGTAAACTTAGTGTTTTTGTTTAGCTGACATAGGATTGGAACGGAAAATATCTAAGAGGGATGGTCAAACCAGAAGTTGGCATCAGTCCTTGAAGTCATTGACTATTGGCTTAAGCCATGGAGGGAGAGTGGTAACTCAACCTGCTGCACATCTGTACAAAGTTCTACACTGAAACCAGTCGGTCAGGATATTACCCATAGAAGTTAATACTTCAAATGCTAGAATATAATTATTCTTTTTATTATAATTAATGAATATTTACGCTTGTCTCTCAACATAATACGATAAATAGCATTTTATACATCTTGATTAAACTGTAATCTAATTGGTCGAATTCTCACCGGTCAAGCAATCACACAACTAATCAGAATACAAACAACCAATCAGTCTGAAATATTGATTTTAGTTATTTATTAATGATGGGCCATTGAGTCGAGTTCGAATGGCTGAATGGTGTACGAGCTTACCTTGTAACCGGAAGGTCCTGGGTTCGAAACCCTGTGGATAGGTGGGTGCGTACTACCGATGAGTCCCAGACTGGAACGGAACAGCTGACTGTCCAGTACTCCCTGTTAGCTTTCAATGTTTCTCTAACTGATATTAATCTGTGATCAAACTTGAAAAATAAATCAAATCCCTACAAATCAACTCTTGAAAAATAATGATTATTAACACATTATTATTAATTCATCGGAAATAAAAGTCTCTCGTTTTTTGTTTGTTTTAATCAGAACAATTATTGTGGGGTTTCTGTTTTTTTTGTCAATTCCCTTTTTTTTAATAAATTCGATTCTGTTCAGTATCAAATGATAAATGATAAAGCCATAAACGTCGATCAAGTTCTTCTTGTAGTGCTTCATCTTGTTCTTCTGAATTCCCTTCCACTCTCTGAGATAATTGTCCTTTTAAGTGTGATGGTGTATTTGTATTACAGAATAGTAGACAACTTGTTTTCCATGCATATGGACAAGTTGATATTGAGTGTACATCACCGAAACCCTTTAACAAGCATAGAAGAAAAAAAACAATTATGAAAATTTAAAACAGTCAATCTCATTTATAAATTTAGATAGTTGTTATTAGAAAACGGAGATTATCTGAAAAAGTATGTGATCTATTTGCACGATACATTTTGAACAATCTGACTATCACACATTTATTTGTTAAGTCAATTTATGTATTAAAAATAAAATCCATTTAAAGTACATAAAGTGACAAAAAGGATTTAGGAATAATTAACTGTTGTCAGTTTATGATGAATTCCTGAAAGCAATCAAATCCCTGCAAACCAATCCGATGCTTACTAGTGACTGGCCCTATTCAGGTAGATAGTTGCTTGGGTTCTAGTGAGAAGTCGTGACCAGTGGGGTGTGGCAGGTAGGGTGTGAGGACAAATACTCGCCACTGATAACATTCGCTAGTTCCAGTCGCACCATATCACGAATTGGCAGAAGTTGGAATTCATGGACTGACCAATGAATCGGGTCCCAATGGCTCAGTGGTCTGCAATGCCTTGTAATCAGAAAGTCCCGGGTACGTACTGATGAAGAGTCCCGAACTAGGCTGACGAAACACAATTGTCCAGTACTCCCAGTTGGTTTTCCAATGGTCCTCTAACCGATGTCAGTTCATGTTGAAATTCTGAAACCAATCAAATCCCTGCGAACCATCACTTGAATTCACACAAAGTTTGATAATCCAATCAGATAAGGGTTAACACAGTAGGTTAAGAGTAATAATAAATTGTTTTTGAACACACAGGAGGGTCTTAAGTTTTTGTATAGCCAACGCCTCAGAGTACTTTAATTAGCATCCTTGACCATTCTTATAGATGACCTTAAAAGCTGTGTTAAAATCAATCTTATGAGTTTTATCGAATAGATATTTGACTATAGACGAAGTTGGTAGTCTGCCACCTGCCTCCGTTAATTTTCCAAAGTTTATCTTTCTTTCTAACCATTTCGGAATATGCCCTCCCATCCTTATATGCAAAGCGCAACTACTCCTCCCTATGTATGTGTGTCCACAAACGTAAATTGGTAAATAATGTCGGATGTGACATAATTACTTGTGCACTTCTGAGGCTTGCAGTGAAGCATACTTTTGGCTTTTTCAATGATTGCAAGCCAGGCTGCATAATGGGTCCTACGGATGACTGATCTTAATCTCCGTCTTAAAATCCTTTGTGTACTTTAATTAGCCTTTATTTTTCATATAAATGTGTGATCAGATTGTTCGATTTTGGATTACCCTTTTATGGTGATTTGATCAAGGTCATTCTAGAAATTAACCATACATGTACACATAGGAATATTTTCGCTCGCATCTGTGTCCTTGGCCAGGTTATCTTCACTCATGCAAACTCCAGTGGCCATAAACAGATATATCATCGCTTTCTTTGTTAAATATACTTATATGGATAGTGACAAATATAAAATTCCCATCTCACGTCGTTATATTTTCTCGCTTAGATAGAGTGGACTGGGGGAAACAGATAGCTGGTGTATAATACTGTCGGTATAGCTTAGTGATAATCGTTATCAACACGTCTGTGTTCAGCATCAGCGTCCCTATTCTATTTCAATCTCCATGCGATTGAGAAGTATTAAAGTGGCAACATTACAATGATAAGCTGTTATATTCCACACTAGTGGCTGTAACCTGAATTTGGCGCTTGCTGTGAAAGATCAGGATTGCATAATGGAAGCATCTCAAATTAGGACAAATGAGTTGTCCACTGCTTCCTACCTAGTTTCTAATCTTTCCCCAGTTGATTACAATTCTTGATAAAATCTACCTCGAAACCGGTCACATCTCTTAGAGTAAGTAGTACTGTGCAGTACAGAACCACTTGTCACAGTATCTCGGTAATAATAAAGTAATGAGATAAAAAGTATGGAATTTAATTTGCCGACAGTATTCCTTATTCCTCACAGTTAATACTGAAGATACACAAGTGATTTATTTAAAACCTAGTTATGGAAAACTGGATGGGGTGATTTAATTGTAAATGGTATGTCGGTTATACATATCAGGAAGAAACGAGGAGATATCCTTGAGGCATGCGCCACTCTTCACCGATTGCTTATTATTATCATTATTACTATTTCCTTAGGTTCCGAGGAAAACATAGGGGGCTTGACTGGCGAATTGCCATTTCACTGTCTTTTCTGCAGTCCCGTTTAGATAGCTCCAAGATTGCCCTTAAGCTTTCATTTCCTCCTCTTCGTATGATTTCTCCCATGCTGCCGTCGGATGCCTGATTGATTATTTCCCATTCTCGTTCCACTCTGTGGCGTGGTGCGTTATACCACATAACGATCTCCTCAAAGTATATCCAATCCATTTCTTTCTGTATATTTTGTTAACCGATAGACTCTTGGTTGGTTCGCTGCGTGCCGAAGTTCCCTGTCGCTTATCATTTCTGACTAACCATCCGATCATCAATACCATCGAGCCAAAGGTGACTGTCGATGAAAGTCTACAGCAGCCTGTCAGAAATGCCTTTGGTGATGCCCACGCCAAGTCTGTGGACCAAACAGAATAATAATAATAACAGCTTTATTCTGAACAATGTTTATATAATGTACAGAATTTTCAGCGGAGTTTATTGTATGATATTCCAATAAAACAGTTGACAGTAGATTGTTTGATGATTCTGTCTGACCTGAAGCTCAAATCAATGCATTATGATATTTCTTCTTTGTCTCCTTCGAAAAGCTTACAGCATTTAGTTGAATGCCAATCACAGAAGGTTCAGGAGTGCGTTCTATGAACCAAGGACACAACTCAGGAACAGTACTGGGATAAGTTTCCATCCAGGATAATGTTTTTTTCTTAAGTTTCTACTAAACTTTAGAATCAGCAGGTTGTAAATGTTTTAAATACTCGCCAGAGTAAACGACACTATTAGAGGTCATATTTTACTAGATTGAGAAAATGGAATAAGAGAAAGTCTATGCAGTATACTGATGGAAGTTTCCAGTAGCCCAAAGATTTAAGTAGGGCGCCGAGTGACAGTGGTTTGACATAAGTGTTGAAGATCAGGTCGCTTAAGTTAGTACTAAATCCAGTCTCTTAATGTGAACCGGTTAGACGCTATTATAATTTATCTGTAGACTAGATAATTTCTTTAGATGTGATAGAGAAGATTTGTAGCTCAGGTGGATGATTTTGATGTGATTGTGTTCTCTGAGCTGGATAGTTAATTTGCGAAGCTTTCATCGCCCTACTAGGCGACATCTTCAGCGCATACTTCAATTTGAAATGAGCTTTTCGATTTCTCCACGAGTTTATTAATCATCTCTCCTGGTGACCTTGGAGGTGATTGGTTGTTTTTGTGTGTTTTCACACATTCTAGGTTATTTGTATTGTAACTCATTGTTTCTTTGACTTGAACTTTGACCCTTTGTGTTTGAGGTTTCTTTCTTATCGGTTGATAAATTTTGTCTATCTCGATGTGTCTGTTGATTGATGATTCACTGGAATGCCAAGCTTCTAAAAATTCTCTAGCATTCTTGTTGTTTCGTCTGTCACACACAAAGGGTCAAAGTTCAAGTCAAAGAAACAATGAGTTACAATACAAATAACCTAGAATGTGTGAAAACACACAAAAACAACCAATCACCTCCAAGGTCACCAGGAGAGATGATCAATAAACTCGTGGAGAAATCTAAAAGCTCATTTCAAATTGAAGTATGCGCTGAAGATGTCGCCTAGTAGGGCGATGAAAGCTTCGCAAATTAACTATCCAGCTCAGAAAACACAACCACATCAAGATAATTTCTTTTTTGATCTTAGCAAAACCCTTTCTAAGAAATAGTATTGTGGTTGTAAAGTTGGCATTTCAAAGATCATATGAATAAAGGTGATAAAGCTTTATTTCAGACAATATATGAACACATACTACACGAACTTTCAGCGTATTTAGTTCCAAAATATATTTTCCCTTCATACAGGATTAACGTGTAAACTAAAAGTCAAATGTATATCATGTAACGTTATGCTGTTCCATATGAAGATAAAACCAATTGTGCATATTTTTTCTTCATTTCCTCCAAGAAATGCACAGAGTTTTGTTGAAGGCTAACTAAATATTTGTGCGAGCTCGTGTAGTGATCACATGATAAAACTGCAGGATTAAAACAATAAGGAAGTGAAGAAGAGTTCAGGCATTTCAATGGGTGGAAATTATGGTAGCCCAGTGATTCAAGCAGGCCGCCTTTGAAGAAGAGGAAGAAATGAAAGCTTTTGGGCAGTTGCGGCGCCCACTGCAGGGGAGTGCAGTAGAGATGAGTTGCAAAAGAATGAATCACTGAACAATATATCATAAACAGTAAGCTGTTGAATAGAATGTTTAGTGTAAGTCATGTTTACATACATGCATGACTGACAGAACCTTGGTATTGCGTGACCACAGAGCCCATAGAACAACTGTTTAACGCCAGTGACACATAATCTGTTTGAAGTAGTTCTTGGAGTTGCGTCCATATCAAAATCTCACCGCTGGCTACGAACTACCTCAGGATAAGTCGAAATGTACAGTTCTTTGAGTAGTCCTTTTTCTATCCCCCCCCTCCTCCAAAGCGAAGAGGCAGCATTCCTGGCCTTCTGGTCATCTAAGGGGAACACTTTACTGCTATTGCATCCCTTTTCGCCAGCGGTATAACTTTGCTTTCAGACCCTTAACTTAGTGTAAACAAAATACACTATGACGGTAACTGCTTTTAGTCTAATTTCTATCCAGCTCACATTTCTGGCATGGTAGGACCTGCAGGGAAATTAGATTCAGTCAGAGTAGTTCGTCGCGTCATTTCGATATGCAAGCCTGACCACTATGTCAAGGTAGCAGCCATTGGTCTAAAAATACATACACACATATTGTGAGACAAATAACAAGCATATACGATTAGAACCAGTAGATGATAGACATCTTCACAATGTAACTGGCAAACTTGCCAGTTACTAACCGTCTAATGGTTAGTTAGTTAGTTAGTTAGTAGTCATATGTAGGAGGTTAAAGGTGATATCTGATCGGTAGACAACAGTTAGATAACTTACCGTCTTCCAATCATTTTTGATTTCGTCAATTTTATTTTGTGTAGTAAAATCAATAATTTCCACTTTTGAATCGTCTTTGCCTTCAGTTGATCCAACAAGAGCGAATATTAATTTTTCTTAAATAGAAAAAGAAATGTCAAAATCAATTTCATGCACAAATTTCTCCTTATAAGTTTGCATCAGTGGTCTATTGGTAGAATGCTCGTCAATCTAAACATTAGGAGGACATAAAGAAGGGACTCCGTCAGATTCTTTGAATATGTACCGAAAAGATTCCGACTGAACGAGCTGAACTGTTTGAAGTCATCGATTACCAAACACCAACAGACACAGGACACTGGATAAACGCTTTGAGTGCATTCAAAATCACTAACAAACCACACAGACCTGAGGCTATCGGAACCGCTGAATCCTTACCTATGTGTTAAAAAGTAATTTGCCTTTGGACTTCAATTACCCTAGTAACTCCCCACTTAGTAACTCTCTGTTCCCCGACCAATTCACTTTGTTTTTCTCCCGCTTTTTCGTTTGACTTTCATTCGATTTTTTTGGTTTTATTCCTTTACGTTCCCAGTGGAACACAGAGATTCAAACTAGAGGCTTGAAGTTTCGGTAGCAGTGGTGTTTATTTTTACTTAACGAGGTTGCTATCCTCATGCCCAACCTTCCCTCTTTACTAGTCTTATTACTAGCTTAGCGAGGTAAAGGAGTGCGTCGGTCGGGGATCGAACCCCCAACCGCATGTGTGTTTGGCGAGCATTCTACCGATGCACGCCAGGTAAGTTTCATATGAAACCTAATTTCTGATCCCTTCAGTTCTACTCATCTCTTCTCATTATGCTCCCCCCCCCCATGTCAAATTTTAAATTTTTTAGATCTTATGTGTTCCGCTCACTAAATTTCATTATGTTAGATTACGCAATTATTACTGACTTATCAAATTATTTTCATGTTACCACTCCTAACAATAAACTTATCTGGTTACAGAATTTCATCATGAACTGACATTGGTTAGAGAACCATTGGAAAACCTGTGAGTACTGGACAATTGTTTCGTCAGCCTAGCTTGGGACTCTCCGGCAGTACTCACCCACCCCACTGCTAGGGTTCGAACCCATGACCTTCTGGATACAAGGCGAGCCAGCTAGTAGACCATTGAGCCACTGGGACCCGATCCATAAATTCCAACTTCTACCAGTAGGGTACAGCAGGTCAGGTGTGAGGACATATACTCGCCACCGATGACATTCCCTAGTGCCAGTCGCGCCATATCATGAATTGGCAGAAGTTGGAATTCATAGACTGGCCATTGGATCGGGTCTCAGTTGGTTAATGGTCTACGAGCTAACTTGCCTTGTAACCAGAAGTTCATGGGTGCGGACCCTGGAAGTCCCGAGATAGGTTGACGAAACAATTGTTCAGTACTCCCAGTTGATTTTCCATTGGTCCTCTAACCTATATCAGTTCATGACGAAATCCTGAAACTTGACATTATTGTTAAAAATTCTGATCTTCTTCCTTTTGCTGAGTCATGTGTCTCTACATCTACTTCACAATAGTGAACTCCGGTCTTGCCTTCTCGATCCCATTCCAGCTGGTTCTGACATCCCTATCCACTCCACCAATTTCACTTAAGTGGAAGGGATGATTTCCTTCAGATTTCTTCAGCCTATGATGGTCAGTATCTGTTGCTGTTGTTGTTGTTGGTGGTCAGGTGTGTTAATCACCTCTATTTTAACATTAAGTAGTATGCACTAAATAACGTGAAATATTTCACGCTTTAGTCAAATTCATCTGCACTTATTAGTTTTCTAGTTGAAATAAACGTACTACTACTTATTATCATAATTATTACAAGTAATACTACTACTGTATAATGGTAGTAAACTTTCTAATTCAGCTTCGTCGGCTTTGAATAGCGTCGACCGTAAAGCAATTTAGAATTCACCTCAACACTATGAAGTTCCGCAAACTTTATCAACCTGATTTAACTGCTATATGATGATACTGTGGCTAGTGCTACTGATAAGATTTATCGGTAGTATATGAAGAGACATTCATCGGCATAAAAACAGCAAATAGTAGGGAGATGCATTTGATTTCAGAGAAGGCAAATAATGCAGCATTTTGGAGATACATGGGAGACGTGAAAGGAACACAAAGAAACACAACATGAATTCTAGAAGTACCATAACACGAAGATCTGTGCAGATGGTGCGTTGAAGATTAGGTATACTTAATTTGGCTATAAAGAGATACCATTATTTTCGTCATCTACTGTTTCAATGCTACGTGTCGACTGGCTCACAACGGACAGCTCAACAAAGACTTTGAAGTGAAGATAGGAGTAAGGCAAGGCTGTAAACTATCACTGATGATATTCCTGCTTGTGGTGTACTGGTTCACTTGTCAGACCGTGAAGAGCGGTAAGACTGAATGAAATATGTTGGACTGACAAGGAGAATCTAGAAGATTTAGACTTTGTGAACGATTTCTGTCTAATGTTACACACACACACTCGAAGACCTACATGCGAAAATCAACAAGTTGGCAGAAGAAGCAGCGAAGGTAAGACTCAAATTGAACATGGAGAAAACAGAGGTGATTAAGACATTCAATGACCAACAACAAGCATCAATGATCATGAACAGGAGGAATGTGAAGGAGGTCACCACTTTCACTTACTTAAGCGACATAGTTTCAACTACAAGCGGTGGCACAGATGACTATATCAAAACAAACCAGAATGGGAAAGACAAGACAGCTCTTCTATACCATGAAATCAGTTTGGTGCTCTGAAGTATATAGCACAAGAAGCAATATCCGAACTTTTAACAGTAATGTCAAGTCAGTACTTCTATATGTATCACAGACTTAACACATGCGTCATTGTAAGCCTGCTGTATGTAGACTCTGATTCACGGCTACTCTACTCTATTGTACCGACCAGAAAGGATAAGAATTTAATCAACTCTGGCACGCAGCGAGTCAACCAAGAACTTATTGTGCAACAAATATACAAAAGAAAATAGGGATGGACTGGGAATACATTGTGGAGACCACTGAGTGACATCTCACTCCAGGCCGTCGAGTGGAGCGCGAATGAGAAATGACGAGTTTGATGTGGGTCAGAAGGTGACAAGAAAATCATGTGTTGGGAAATGGACAAAGCTTATGAACAATCGTGGAGCCAGCTTAAAAGTACTTCAGTGAACATTGTAAAATAGTGGTGTGTTCCCGAAGCCCTATGTTCCATTAGGAGACAATAATAATAATTATTATTATTATCTTACTTTTTGGTTCAATTGTAACACCATAAATAGGTCTCGATTCTGATTGAATATATTCAAATAAATATTTTCCAGTATCTTCATTATTATCAGAATATAAACCAGCTTTATAACAGACAACACGTGCATTAATTCTGTCTGCTACGCATAGTGTATCCTCATTTTCAAACAGTGCTAATTGATGCGGTAGGTTAAGTTCATCTGGTCCAGGATGTGTTCGATCTATTTGATGAAAGCATAAAAAACCAAAATTAATAAGAAAATATTGATCAATCATAAAAATAATTTGAACATGTAAGAGAACAATCTGTGGCACTGGCTGGTATATATATATATATATGCGTCTGTGATCAGACTGTTCGATCCCCTCGGGGTCATGAGTACTTACTGATGAATAGTCTTAAACAAAGTAGTCTGAAAATCAAAATAATTGATTCAGAGAAGAGACTTTTCAACGAATTCATTATCAAGCTGTACAATCGTATATTTGTGGATTTTTTGAGAAATTATATCCGGTGATAATAGTGTGAAATGTAATTAAAATGTTTGGGATTTTAATCATAGTTCAGTGTGAAGCGGCGAAACAATTCATAGGATGTATACAACCTGGAAGGGTTGTGAAATTATAGGATTAGTAGGCAAATAGAATAAAAATAAACACGTCACATAACATTGCCTGAAATTTGAAAACATAGAATTTACTGTTGCAAAATAAAATTGATTTCGAATGATAAGTAGAATTTGATTTTGATTTTGATTTTGATTACAGCTTCATTCCACACCGTATATTCAGTACAAGTATAGAATTTTCAGCATGGATATCGTTAGCCCAAATTTACAGGCCGACCATAGATATCGGGTGTGCGCCGGCAGGAGATCGAACCCCGGACCATGTGCATGGTTGGCGAGAGTCTTAATCACTGTGCCACCGACACACCATTGTCTTTATTGAAATCAACAAGGAGATGAAAGAAGAAACATGGCTGAATTTTTCACTCCGTCATCTTTGAGCATTGTTTAATTCACAACGCTTGTTGACTGATTCCTCTTTTCAGATATAATTTCAATTAAACTGAGCGTGTCTGTTGCAAGGATGAATACGAGTAATTCTAATATTAGAAATGATGAGATCCCATCACCAAAAAACTTTAATTCCTTTCGTACACAGGTAATTGCATTTCACACTACTATTATTATCTTATATATTCACATCTGTGATTCGATTCTCTCACCGGATATAATTTCTTAAATAATAATAATAATAATAATAATAATAATAATAATAATAATAATAGTTTACTTTATACCAAAACAGTACAGGGGAGAATTTTCAGCATTTGGTACAATATTGCATCTAAGTCTATCGAATAACATTAAAAACAATTGTAAAGATAATATTACAGGATTGTTAATGGCAGTTAATATTTGATATTAGTAGTGATAGTAAGAGCATAAACATACAAAAAAATTGTAAAAAATAATACGGTTAGTAGCTAAGATTGTCAGTTAACCGAGGTAGTGTCACCATAGATTACAAATAGGAGATAATAAAAGGGCCAATTATTTAGCTAACAGCATAGCAATTCATAAGTTTCATGCTTTACATAGTCTCTGTCGCATAGAACACTGGTCAAATATGGTGTCATTGAGTTCCTATACTTGGTAGTTCGAGCATATAGTCTTTTGCACTGACTTCTAGTTCGACCAGAGGAGATACAAGGGGGGAGGGGGAAGCTGAGAATAGACAGGGTGCTGAGGGTCAGACAATATAGATTTAAAACATTTCTCGCATGAGTTCAGATTTCTGTCAACTAATGTATTGACAAGGTGACTAAGTTTCACACCACTTTAAACCTTCAATACCCTTCTCAAAATGACATAGTCCTTTTTCAGTAGACCAGGAAAGACTAAGAGCAGTAAATTACAATAGGTAAGGTACACGAGTTAACAAATTATAAAAGCAGAGGTTGAGTGGTTCCAAATTGTTTTAGCTTCATAATGTAGTAGCTTAAACGGAAGATTTTCTCGGAGATCAATAAAATATGGGATGACTAAGTAAGGTCAGAGGATAGAACTATATCAAGGTATTTTATGTTAGACGTAGTTACTGTTATAGTCTCCTCTATGCTACAATCATTGTGTGTATTAACCAGTCGTTGTAGATCACTTTTATGTCTAAAGGAGACGTAAATAGTCTGCCATTTTGAGGGATTTAACGTAAGACCATTTAGCTTAGACTACTGACTAATGTCCGACAAAAAGTAATTAAGTTCGCAACAGTCTGATTGGGACTTGACAGGAAACGAAACAGTCACATCATCAGCTTATTTGACAAAGTTGATTTCGTTAGAAAGAGGTAAGACATGTAAGAAGAAAGAAAAAAGAAAAGGAGCGAGAACAGCACCCTGAGGAACATCAGCTTCAGTAAGCAAGGCAAGAGAAGATTCACCCTTATACATTGTATACTGCATTCTATTTGAGAAATAAGAATGCAATCAGTTAACAGCCTAGGATTTGGTTTGCGTATATATATATATATATATATATATATATATATGATTGTACAGCTTGATAATAAATTCGCTGGAAAGAGTCTCTTCGGTGAATCACTTGTTTTGATTTTCTTTATGTCCGAATGGGAATTTTCCATGGATTAAAAATTAAGCTGAAACAGCCGTCCAGTACTCCTTGGTAGTTTTCAATGATCTGTCTAACTGATTTTCGTTAGTGCTGAAAATCTGATGATTGAAATTAATCAAAATTTTGTAGTCTAAATGTAAGTAAACGTTTTAGGAAATATCAAAATCTGCAGTTACTTACAAAGACAGTTATTGTGTATATTCACTTGTCGTCTTAAATTCACTATGAAATAGTGAGATGTCGTGACCACTGGGGTAAAGAAGGTCGGGTGTGAAGACAAATACTCGCCGAAGACACTGGCTAGCGATTGCGCTATATCGTGAATTGGCAGAAGTTAGAATTCATGGTCCATTGGATCGGATCCCAGTGGCTTAATGGTCTACGAGCTGGCTTGCCTTGTAACCGGAAGATCCTGGGTTCATACCCTGGCAGTAGGGTGGGTGCATACTACTGAAGAGTCCGAAGCTAGACTGACGAAACAGCTGTCCAGTACCCTCATTTATTTTCCGGTGGTCTTGAAATCGATGTCATCTGACGTTTTGTTGAACAAGAACATTTGTTGAGAAGGTGAGGCACTGAGGTACAACAAAGAACATTGTTCGAATTGCTCTTGACTGGCGGCTTCAGAGAACTTCAATAATTTCATCATGAGCTGACATCAGTTAGAGAACCATTGGAAAACCTGGTGTCAGCTGATGTCAGTTCATGATGAAATCCTGTAACCAATCAAATCCCTACAAACCAACAAATTCAATAATTGTATCTCCTTTGAATTTCAGATTTGTAATCAGTTAATTCTTGGTTACACCCAGATTTCGCAGGGTATCGGTCTTGATGAGAACGGTTGGATATCCATTTTTGATCAGAGTGCTTACAGATTGTCTACTGTCAATTAACATTATGTATGTAAACCCCTTAAATAACTGTACAGCTTTGGAGTGAAGTCGCGAAAAGAGATCTCTTTGCTAACCTATGTACTCTTAAATACATGACACGGGAATATTCTACGTCATCCCTTTAGTTATACATCTGAAGGTGTATATACTGACCTTCTTGAAATCCTCTTACTAGCCAGTTATTATAATTGTCACGCATATAACACCTACGACTTCCAGTCTTACCTACGAACAAATCTCTGATTGGTTAAAGAAGTGCATTAAAATTTTTTGAAATACTGATTAGTTGATAAAGAATATTCTTTTTGATAATTTCTTCATCAGATTCTTCAGTTTTCTCTCCATAATAATTCTTCTGTATCTGCTGACAAGAAGAAGAATTCAAAGTTGAGGCAGCAAGCGAAACAATAACCAACAAGTTGATAAGATCGATTCGAAAGACTTATAATGCCAGTAAGCTGCGACTCACATTTTCTACACAGTTGGTTATGATTCCGAAACTGAAAGACAAGGTATCTAGGACAGCCACCACTGTTAGTATCTATCAGTTCAGCTGTTTATGTGCAACCAGTTATATCGGTAAATCATGTTCTGACCAAATTGCAACTCTACGCATCATCATCGAACAAAGCATGGAATGGCAGTCAAACCTCTACCTCAACTTTATAGACTTTGAGAAGGCCTTCGACAGCGTTGACCGCGAAGTAATTTGGAAACTACTCGAGTACTATGGCGTACCCCAAATATTCATCAACCTTATTCAGCAGCTGTACGACAACGGCACATGTCAAATGATCCACAACGGAAAACTCAGAGAAGCGTTTGGAGTAAACACAGGAGTCAGACAAGGGTGCTTATTATCACCAATGGTATTCCTAATTGTGGTGGAATGGGTTATGCATCAGACAGTGGGAAACGAGAAGACAGGGATATCCTGGACCGACGTGAAGAAGCTAGAAGACCTGGATTTCGCGCGTGGATGATTTATGTTTGATGTCACACAAAATCGACGACTTACAAGCGAAAACCCACAAACTGATCGAAGAAGCAGCCAGAGAAGACAGGACTCCAGGTGAACATAGACAAGACGGAGGTCATGAAAATAACCAACCGACAACAACAACATCCAGCGCCTATCACCACCAGCGGGAGGGATTTGAAAGAGGTTACTTCATTCACTTATCTAGGGAGCATTCATTGTCTCAACTACAGGAGGAACGGAAGAAGATGTCAAATCGAGAATCGGGAAGGCGAGAAACACATTCATCAACCTGAAACCAATCTGGAAATCTTCGTCACTCAGCCTGCATCAACAACAAAATTCGGATTTTCAATACAAACGTCAAGTCACTTCTATACGGATCAGAAACTTGACGGATCACAAAGAATATTTCCAACAGCCTGTTGCAGACCTTTATCAACAACTGTCTTCTTCGCTCTATACTGAAGATCAGATGGCCGGAGAGAATCACCAACAAGAAACTATGTGGACAAACAAAACAAGAACCAATTGCTCAACCAATATGCAGGAGAAAGTGGAGATGGATTGGACACTCGCTGAGAAGGCCGTTGGGTGACATCGCACGTCAGGCCATTGCTCGAGTGGAACCCGAAAGGGAGGCGGCGAGTGGAACGTCCAAGGGTGACATGGAGGAGATCGTGTGAAGAGGAGCTGAAACAGTATGGACTAACCTGGATGTAAGTGAAAAGTACAGCAGAAGACAGAGGCAAGTGGAGGCGTGCAGTTGAAGCCCTATGTTGCACTAGGAAACCAAGGGAACAATAATAATAATAATAGTTTTATCGGTCGTCTCTCTAGGAACCTGATTTTTCGTGACGAGTAGCACCTGCTAGTGTGGCTAGTTGGACGTGTGGTTAAAATCATCCCAAAGCCATTGAAGAGTCTTCCTCTATCATCTATCGAATACTGAACAAGTTGCTAAAGGCCTTCAAATATCTAACACTTCAAACAGAAGAGGCAACTCTAATTCACTCAAAGCAACAGGAACTCTGTGTACAAAAGTAATAGGTCCAGCCACAATAATTGCTGAATTATTATGAATGTATAACTGTAGAACCTGATAAGGGAGAAGTTATCAAAAAGATTATTCACAATCAGTGCCTTAAAACTATTGAGTATTTTCTTTACTACTTAATATTTCTAAAAGTAGACTATATTTGTAATGAAAAAGTGAACAGGGCTCATTTTCTATGGATTTATGATTACATGGATGAGTGAAAGTGTTCCGAGTGAAACTCAAAATTTCATACAGTAAAGTGTTATGCATCAAGTCACCGGTTCGCGATTGACGCTGGTTTCAAGTTTTAGTGAGAACGCTATCATTCAACAGGGATGCAGACACTTCCGGCAGATAAGTCACAGACTGGACGAAAAAATCTTGGATTACTTTCCTAGCCACCATCAATCAAATAACATCATGTTGACATCTGAAACGCTGTCAAAACAAGCATAATGTGAGCCAAAACGTCGTCAACAGAGACTGGATATTTAGGTTCAACGTGAAACTATCAGTGAAAATTTCAACATGACATCAAGTTAGTAATAAAACGAAATATTTAAAGACGAGGATGAAAAATAACAATAACACTCATTAGGCAAAAACTTACTTTTCGTTTCATGACCCCATGATTTTAAAAGTTTCCCAGATCCATCGAATTTCATGATACGACTATTGCAGTACCTGATAAAAATAATCCAACAAATACACTGAAGTAAAATAGATGTGAATTTTCATTAGCTGCAGTATTGTTTTTCAAGTGTTGGTCCGCAAGGACTTGATTGGTTACAGGTTTGAGCACTAAATGACATCGGTTAGGGTTGGGGAGTGCTGGACTGCTGTTTTGTACTAGTTTTTGGGGCTTTTCAGATGTACGCACTGACCAGGTTTTGAACTAGAACAGAACTATAGAAAACGGTCACCGTTGTCTGTCCGTCGGCAAGGAACTCCGTACGTACCACCTATATACTTTTCAGTCTGGCCTAACTTCCCTACTTAGGCATTGAAGCCGCCTGCTAAAACATCTATGTCTGAGCGTTTTGCTTTTTGTAGCAAACTAGAAAGTTTTGGTAAAAGTCATCCTTTAGTTCATCCGAACTACAGTCTGTTGGGGGGGGGGTAAGTAGAAACTATGAAAAGACAACGACGGATAACGCCATCCTTCCTTCTTCTAACGGAACCGTTCAGACGGACCGCACACATACGATTATCTACTGGGACCCAGTCAAGAAATGATTTTTCGACCGTAACGCTCAATCTGTCTCTCTGGATTCAACACAGAACTTGGCACCGAACTGCAGCAGTTCCAGTTGCCACCTTCCAAATAGCACACAAAGGTAGACAAGAAAATGAGCGATGAAGAGAATCAATAGAGTTTTGACAAGTATAAGAGTGAAACAGAATGAGTAATGGTAGAAAGGAGTATGAAGGTTAAAGAGACTGAATACATCTGCGCCATTGACAACGATTTTGAGCCATGTCACCTATTGTCTCCAGCCATTGATTCTTAGAGTCCCGAGGGCCCCAACCCGGAAGTCTGCATCTCCCTACCTGACTCAGTTTAACTGTCAAGGATTTCATGGATTGATGCCATGTTTTTGTTTGGCCACCACTTACTCTTTTCCAACCTGAACCTATATCAGCTAGTAATGCCCGCAACACTCAATGCTCTCCCTAAACCTGCGAGTCCTCACGAACTAGCTGAGGGGTCTCCTGGTACCCTAAAGGTGAATTTTGCAGATTCATCTTATTAGTCGGGTGGGGTTAAATAAATAACCACGTTATGGTATAACCACATACTCGTGGAAGAATAAGGTGAGCAATATTGAGCTTAGGCACCAGTCGAGTGCTAGGTAAAGAGGGAAAGTCAATCAACGAAGCAGTGAAGTTACATTGATTGAGATGGTTAGGACATGTGCTACGCATGCCTAGCCTAGCCACTGGCTTCCTCTACAATGGTCAATGTTAGCTGATATAGGATCAGGCTGGAAAAGAGTTAGCAAGTGGTGGTCAAACCGAAACATGGCTTCATCAGTCAATGAAATAAATCCTCAACATTTAGTTTAAGCCAGTCATGTATGGGTGTGAAGACTGCTGTCTGGTTCGGGTCATCGGGATGGTAAATACTAATGGCTGGAGACAATCGGTGGTGTGGCTCAAAATTGTCTTAATGATGGTTCATATGCATTCACTCTTTGTGATTTATAATATCCAGTATAATTCTATTGTGCCTCCATATTAGTATTCTTTTTGTCTCATATTTCTGTTTGTTATCTCTCTCTCTCTCTCTCTCGGAATCTCTCTTTACTCTCTTCTCTTGTTTTGTGTACTAAATAGAGTGTGGTGACTCGAACTGTTGCACATCTCTGCAAAAGTTCTACGTTGAAACCAGTCAGTCAGGATTTCGAACCCAGGACTTTAAGGCTACAAGCTGAGCCACCCCCCCCCTAAGAAAAACTGAACTGAGATAGCTGTACTCCATAACCACTAATTTTTACATATCTTCTCTTTTGACTGACTGTAAACTGCTTCACAGTTTTAATAGGTTATTTATATACACAAAGTTCTGGCATATTTTGTTAAATGACAGAACACTATTTTTACACAAATCTTTTCTATGTGAGTAATTTTCAATGTTCCTTTTACTCCTCTACTGACGAAATCATGTAGTGATTTAATAATTCTAGCACAGGGTAACGATTTATGAACATTCGCACTAAAATATATCTTTGTGTGATTATTGGGCTATATTTAAATCAATAAGTTGATCGATCGACTAATTACTAGTTCATTAATATAAATGTAGATCTCGGACACTGTGGCAGACTGTAATTCCATATTAGATAAGTTTATTTTAAATATTACACTGGATGACATTTTGAGTATAAATTATTGCTCATAATCATATCAGTTCAGTCACACGGTTTCACAGTTTGTCTTATGTATATGTATACATTCTCTCTTTCTGTCTCTTCAAATTCCCTTTGTTGTTTGTTGCCACTTTCCATATCTCCGGTATAGGCGTTGCATCATTCCGACTGCACGTGTGTGGTATTGAATCGATAAACAAAGCTTCAGTCAGTGATCAACCCTTTTGCGTCTCCACTTAACTGTATTACTTTTTAATACTCTCATTCTGTCCTACCCACCCTATTTTGTGATTACATGCAAGTGAATGCAGTACAGTGACTGAGCTTTTAACCTAGCAGGGTCAATTATTCTAGGTTTAGCTAAATTTTTATATTTCGACAACCTAACTGACGCTAATCTACTAGTTTGATCTATGTAATTGACCTCAGTAACAGTCATTACATGGTATTTGGTAGATTATATTACTTCTCCTGATTAGATCTATTGGGTCCTTAAGCCGACAAAGTTCATCTCTGAGAGAGTTGGTTGGCTGGTTTAGATGCCACAACAATTCCAGCTTCATTGACAATCCTACGTAAGGTCTCTGAAGTTCCTTCTTTATACGGCAGTACTGCAGAGACTTTGAATTACTAGTTCATTCAAAATATTTTACTGAATGATAAAGATTTTGATGTAGTTGTGTTCTCTGAGCTGGATGGTTTAACTGCAAGGCTTTAATGGTCTTACTAGACAACATCCTCAGTGCATACTTCATAAAATGAACCTAAACCATCCATCTCAGAGAACATAACTACACCAAAATCATCCACCTGAGCAGAAAGTAGCAACAATAAGCTATTGCAGGCAGCAAAAACCACCCTGTGTTGAGAAGACATTGTATTCACATCACATTCAAGGTCCTGTAGTGGAACCCGAATGAGAGGAGATCAGCTAGACATGTTTCCGAAAGTAACATGGAGAAGATCGGGTGAGTAGGAGGATTGAATAAAAGCTTATGGAATGTCGTGCAGCTAGTTGACAGTGATGATAGCAGATGAAGATGTCAAAGCCAGCCGGAATCAGAGAGGCAAGATACGCCTTCATCAACCTGAAACCAGTTTGAAAATCTTCTGCACTCCCCAGCATAAACAACAAGATTTGGATTTCCAGATTCTATTGTAGGTAAAATTTATTTTAATAAAGTCTCACATTGTTGTGCAGTAATCATATCTAGTTGATATGATTATGAGCAATAAATTGTACTCGAAACATCATCAGTAAATATTACTGCATAACACTGTGAAACTTTATTAAAATAAATTTTACCCATAATGGAATTAAACTCTAACACGTTCTATTCTTCTTTCAACACAAATTTGAAGTCATTCATTTCTTCTATATGGGTCAGAAACTTGCACTGCGCGTCACGAAAAGCATTTCCAACAGATTACAAAGTACTGTCAACAGCTGCCTTCACTGGCTGCATACTGAAGATCAAATGGTCAGAAAGAATTAGTAACAAGGAACTCTGACAACAAACCAACCAAGAGCCGATCGCTCAACAAGTGTGCAGGAGAAAATGGAGATGGACCGGGTATACATTGAGGAGGCCATTGTGAATGGCATCGCGCCATCGCTCGAGTGGAATCCCCATGTGAAGGGACGAGTAGGTCGTCCGAGGGTGACATGGAAGAGATCGTGAGAGTAGGAGACGAGAGATTCTGGACAATCGTGGACCCAGCTGAAGAGGACAGCACGAAGTAGAACAAAGTGGAAATGTTTTGTTGAAGCTTTATGTTCCATTTGGAACCCAATAGAATAATAATAATAGCAGAGAAGGGAGTGAAACAGAGATGTCCTTCTTAGGCCCCATCTTCTACTCGGAATACAAGTAAACAATAATAATAATAAATAATCGAATAATAAGTAAGGAAATTTAGGAAAACTTCTTTTTTATAAATTACCCGTCAGAAATAAATACTTGACCATTTGTACTGACGACAACATCAGTTGGTTTACAAAACTGATTTTCACCAGACCCAGGTTTAAATCGTTCACCTAACACTAATAATGGTTCGCTTGATAAGTGTGGAGAGAATTTGAAAACCTGTGAAAAAAACAACAAATAAATGAACAAACTAAATTCGAATGGAAGAACCATTGAAAATTGAAAGAAGAGACTTTGAACAATTTTTTTCTCAATGGTGAGGAGCAACAATAGTAATAACATAACCAGAAATTAAGCCTAGAATCATAAGCTTACTATAAAAGGCTTGTAGCCATTGAGTCGAAAACATAACACTATAGAGATTCATGCCACACTCATGAGTAGCGAATGCTACTTGAAATTATAATTATCAAAGCATTAAATATGATACTTTTGGTGATAAGCACTGAGTGTAACATGACAGAATACATTGCTAAGGAAGGAAATGAAGAATATAGATCAACGAGTGACCTTCATGCGTACATAACAATGTAGCTAAAACAGATAAATCAAGAATTATTGGTAAGATTGTTGCTGATACAACATTTTATTTTTGGCTGAGCTGGAAAGCTTTCATTCCTCGTTCCATTGTTTATTTTTCATTATGGATTTCGTTATGAACAGAAATTAGTGAGAAAGCTACTGGAAGCCAGGGAGCACTGAGTACCTGTTTTGACCTGGTCTGTGACCCGGAAATTAGAATTGTTGGGCTATTGGATTGCATCCCAGTAACTGCATGGTCAACGAACTCGCCTGGTAACCTGAAATTGGTGTGTTCGATCCATGATGGGTGAGATCACGGCTGCGTGTTACTAAAAGGTCACAAAGTAGGAGATAACAGCCGTCCAGTACTCCCTGCTGGCTTTAACAGTTTCCCAAATGATATCAATGCATGACCAAACTGGAAACTAATCAAATCTCTGCAAGCTGTCACTCGAAAATGACAATGTATTCAATTCATTCCCAAACAATGTTTATTGTTTTTAGGATTTCATCAGGAACTGCCATCGGTCAGAGTGTAACGACAGAAGGCAAGAGTCAGGCAACAGATCATTTATTAAGGAAATCAACGCATATTTATATATTTGCATGTACATTACTATGGATATTTAAGTAAACAAACACAGTCTTCCGATTGTTTGTTTCTCACGTAAAGTTAATCTTTCATCTATTAGTGACTGTTTCTTGAATGTCAAATCCTCTATATGTTAACTGCATCCGCCTACGCAAAGTCTGCTGTGGTGGGTTTTGAATCAATCTTTGTTCACATTTTCTCACGACAAATCTTGGGAACGTAAATATTGACGTAAATTGCTGTCTACCAATTTGGCTAGTAGACAGCTCTCACCACAGTAGTAGTGGACTTCCATACTAACTTTAGATTATTGAAGGTTTTCTGTCTCTCTGAAACAGCTCTCACCACAAGAGGACTATTGAAAAACGTCGAACCGATATGAATTCATGATGAATTCCTGTAACCAATCAAATCCCTGCAAACCAATACTTGAAAATCAGTCTGAAGCTCACTAGTGACTAGCTGTATTCAGGTAGGTAGTGGGAAGTCGTTACCAGTGGGGTAAAGCAGGTCAGGTGTGAGGGCATATACTCGCCATGGATGACAGCAGCTAGTGCCAGTCACGCCATATCATGAATTGGCAGAATTCGGAATTCATGGACTAGCCATTGGATCGTGTCCCAGTGTCTTTGATACAGTAGAAGGCAAGACACAGAAGAAAAGGTATATTTTCTAGTGATCAAACTACTAGTGCTAAAGCAGTATTGAACTGTGGGAATATGTGAGAATAGTATTCCGTTTGAGCATATTGCCTGTATTACACGACCACAGATGAATGGTGTACGAGCTGGCTTGCCTTTTAACCAGAAGGTCATGGGTGCAAACCTAGTGGTAGGTGCTGAAGAGTCCCGAGCTAGGCTGACGAAACAGATGTCAGGTACTTCTTGTTGGTTTTCCAATGGTCCTCTAGGCAATGTCAGTTCATGGTGAAATCCTGTGACTAATCACATTCCTGCAGACCAATACTTGAATGTTTATTGTTCTTGATTTACAAAAACAAAAACACTTATGATGGAGACTAATTCCACAAGATTTAAAAATAATAATAACAATATTATTTTGCTCACAAAAACTTACCTGATGTAAAGCAACATCTGTTATCCAGAAGTTTCCATCAGGATCTATTGTCAGTCCATGTGGAAGATAAAATCTATGATAGCAGATGACAGTAGTGGGAATATATAAAGAAAGTGAATAGAGGAAAAACATTTCTCAAAATTTAAATAGGATAACCCTCAGAAATTAGTAATAAATAATAATGGGAGCTGTGAAGTGGTTTCGCATCAACACATGGACACATCAATAAATAAACACTTTAAGTTGATCACACAACTAACTGCAGCATCTCTTTATTTCTCACAATCAGTATATTATTTTGTGACCACTAGCCAGAGCGGTGATTACGGATAATTTAAAACAGTTCACGGGTATTAGTGTGTTCCCGACACCGGAACTAGTGTTTCCTGGTTTTCAATGATCGGTAACTGGCGTCGTTTTCATGATGAAATCCAAAATTCAAATTAATGCAAGTCCCTACAAAACCGAAATATCAATCTACAGCTCATTGGTGGTTATGGCTACAGGAAGCATGTCTTGAAACTGACCTGAGAAGTTGTTACCAGTGTGGTCCACCAGGCCAATGTGAAGTGGATGATCATCGACGGGTATAAACCTTACAGAAGTTAGAATTCATGGGTCACTGAATTCCACGCCCAGAGGGCTACATGGTCAACAATAATCGCCTCATGACCTAAAGTTCTCCGGTTCAGTTTCTATTGGGGTCGCATGTGTGTATGCACTGCTGAGGAGTTCCAAACTAAGATGAAACACGTGCCTAGTACCACCTGGTTTTTGACAATGTCTTACTGGTGTAGGATCGTCAAGAAATCTACATTTAAATTCATTCAGATCTCAACAAAAACCCATAATCTAGATTTAGGCGTATATACTTTTAGTTCCTAGAAATTCAGTTAATTTCAATGTAGATTTCAATATCATCTGAAGAAACACTGAAAACCAAGTAGCGCACAGGATAGCTGTTTCATCGGAGTTCAAGACTCTTCATCACCGTATATACTTTTATCAGCTTTCTTTCAGGGATAAATTTAAAATCTACGTCGATTGAGTATTTGAACCAACGATTTTACGATTCTTAGACCAGCAGTAAATCATTTAAATGCAACCATCATCAGTAGTTAGACGGTTCAATGGTAGAATGCTCGGCGACCACACAACATGTCTTGGCAAGTACGAAGACCAGCGAGGGAGAGGCTTTGATGTATGTGACGCTAGCAACCCAACCCCGATATAAAATAATCATAACACCACTAATGAGAACATCACTGCTTAGGCTTGAAGCCCTATGTTCCATACGAGGAACTCAAAGGAATTAAAAATAAATCATCTATGGTTATATCATTATTTGTGTCTGGCAAAACGTTCAGAGTGGCGAAAAGTGGACGGTTGTTTAACACAAATTTATGTGACAGGATTGCATTACACTTGAAGATTACAATGAATTAATGAGGTAATTGGCAGCTGGGTATTGTAGTATAGTTGGTAGACCACTGTTCTAGACATCAGGTGGTCGCTAATGATGTAAATCCTGTCTTGACACATACTTTCATTTCACTTTCATTCTCTGTCTATAAGATCAGTGGCAGTCAGACAGACACAAAATCAGTACACTTTAATTCATGTTTAAGGCCTTTCATTGTTAAGATTATTATTATTTCCTAACATTCCGAGTGAAACATAGGGCTCCAGCAAAATACTTCTATTTCATTTTGTTTTCTGCAGTCGTCATTCACTTGCTCCTCGATTTCTCATAGGCTATCAATTCCTCCTGAAATGATCTCCTCCATGTCACCTTCCGACCCACACTTAAACTCGCAGTTTCTCATTCAGGTTCCATTAGAGTGCTTAGCGTGAGGTGTGTCACTCAACGACTGTCTCTTTGTGTGTCTGATCCAACTCCATTTTCTTCTGTATATTTTTCTGGCTATTAGTTGTTAGTTGATTTGTTACGTGAGTTCCGCTGTTGGTAAAAGTCGACAACCTGTTGGAAATGCTTTCGGTAACGCGACAAGTTTCTAAACTATATAGAAGCACTGATTTCACATTAGTGCTGAAAATTTGAATCTTGTTCTGCATGCTTGGTGCAGTAGATTTCCCCATTGATTTCAGAGTGATGAAGGTCTGTCTTGCCTTTTCGATGCTGGCTGGCTTTGACATCTTCATCAGTGGTGTATATAACTGAAAAGATTCTGCCTAAGTAACTGAAGGCGGTCACTTCTCTTGAATGTCACCCTTTGATTGTGATAATTCTATTTCATTAATTTGTTTTGCTTTATTCACAATAAATTCATGGCAAAACAGAGAAAATAAATGCTTACTTTTCAGGTAAATATGTTTCTCTTATCTCTCCATCGAGTATACGTACTAAAACCCCATCTTTGATTGGTTCAGATTTATTTAGACGATAGTTATTCTGTTGATCAAATGTGCTTTAAAGAAAAACACAAAATAAATTGAAATTGAACAAGAAAAGCAAAGAGTGTATTCAGTATTTAGATCCTAGAAGAAAGTTACAAAATTAAATCTTTTAAAGAAAACATTGGATTTTCCTGTAAATCAAATGAAGTTTGAAAATGTGATACGGGCCAATTTTTTAAATGTCAGTGTTCAATGGCCCGAACCAACCAATCACGAGGTGAGTTATAGATGGAAAGATGGAAATGACCTTGGCGCATGAATAAAGGAGAGAGCTAATTGTTTGAAAACGAAATGGATAGATGACTGTGAATTAAATTTTCAAGAGTCAGTTCGCTAGGATTTGATTTGTTTCAAGTTCGATCATGAACTGATGTCAGTTGGAGAACCACTGAAAAAGGTGGAGTGTCAGGCAGATGTTTCGTCCTAGTTTGACATTCTTCACAGTGCGCACTCATAACCAAGCCGAGGATCGGACGTAGGATTTTTAGGTTACATGGTGAGATCGTTGAACATTCAACCACCTGGATCGGAATCCAATGACCCAGTTCTATTTAGTGACCAGCTACAGAAAGAAGTTACCTGGACTTCTGCTGAGAAATTACGATCACTGGAGTTCACTAGGTCAAGGGTGAGGACGAATACTCGCCGATGACACTGGCTGGCGGTCGCGCTAAAATCGTGACTTGGCAGAAATCAGAAATCATCGGTTACTATATTCTGGCCCAGGTGGCTGAATGATCGACAAGCTCGTCTTTTAAGCTGAAGGTCTTGGGTTTGACCGGCGGTGGACTGGATCGTGGGTGCGCAAGGCTGAAGTGCCCCAAACAAGAGCTAAATATCTGTCGAATACCGCCTGGTATTGAACAGTTACTTAACTGAAGTCAGTTAGTGATCAAACTTGAGACTATGAATCAGTGTGATAAGAGGGTAGAACTGGATAAAAGAACGTTAATAATTGTCCAAATAAACTGCCGCTAGGATCTCATTCAGATATATTCTAATCAGTATTGGCAAAAGGTAACAATCTTACGTTACGAATCAAATTTATACGAAATATTTTCTTCCTACATTTTGCTAAGATTTATCTGGTTTCCATGCTTCACTTTTCACAATTTTTTCAACCTACTTCAGTGTGGAAAAATAATATCATTCAAGCTCTCACTGGTGAAGTATGGCCAATAGACAATTAAGGTTTCTGCTACTATTGGTAGAATTTCGTAAATGGTACACACACTGAGATATCTTTTGTGAAGTTCAGATGAACAAAGAAGTTACTAACGTAGGTACAAATCAAAGAAATGTCCAGCAGGTTTTGGCCTTCGGTGGTTCTTTAAGTGAAGTCAGTTTGTGATTTAATTTGAAATGAATGAAATCTCTGTAAACCAACACTTAAAACACAATGCCATGTTCACCAGTGACTGACTGTAGAATGAAGTTGTCTGGATTAGATTACATCAAAGCGGTTGAATGGTCAACGGTCTCGCCTTGTAAGCTAAAGCTCTTGGATCTGATCTCCGGCTGGTTCATGGGAACAGACTGATGAAGAGTTCCAAACTAGGAAGAAACAGTATTGTCTAGTACTCCCTGCATGTTTTCATTGGCTCTCTAACAGATGTATTAGTTCATGATCTAACTTTGAATCAATCAAATAAATGTAAACCAACATCTGAAGACGAACCGATACGTAAAAATAACAGTTGTTTACACGGAAAGTTCCCATTTGGAATGAAAGTTCCTAAAATGTGTGCGTCACACAATGGAGATTCATGTTCCCTTAAGTGGTAAGCAACAGTTTACAAAGGCTTGAATATTTGGTAGCCAAATTGGTCTGATTTAAAACCCAAATAAACTTTCTGCCTGTTCAAAACTGATCTCATAAGCAGTTAATTATTAAAAATATTCAGCTCAAACACTCAAGTTGTTGAGATCACTTTGGATTTTCTAATTTGACCTAAGTTAATACTGGTGCAATGGAAATGTCTTCTAGCTAAATATTCGGATTTTGATTTTCCAGGGATCTGAACAGATTTCTGCATGAATGAATTTCACTTGGATCATTGAGAGCCACTAAGTACTCAGCGGATATCTATTCTAGTTTAGAAATCCTCATATACGTATCTACTCCATGTAATTTTAAATGATTCTCTAATTACTATTGGTTTTTTGATAGTACCTGAAGGTCTCCTCAGCTTACCCTTAATCCATTGCTATTTTCTTCTACACATCTATTGGTCAATATGTTGTTGGCTAGTTCGACCCCTACCAGAACTCCTTGTTAATTACTGTTTCCAGCTGTCTATCTGATCTTCAGCATCACTGAACAAAGTCAGTTGCTGATGAGAGTATGTTACCTGTTAGAGGTGCTCTTTATGACGCGCAAACCGAGGCTCTGTTTCCTATAGAAGCACTGACATGACATTACTGTTGAGGATTATTTTTTTGTTTCTTTCGCTAAATCCCATGGACCTCAACATCGATTTCAAAGCAACAACCATCTTTCTTGGGTCACCGATTCATTAATTTTAGATGGTTGGAGGCATTTGGCAGGAAGCCGTGAATCTAGGTTTCCTGATTACTGGCACTTGTATGCAAGACGTATCGGTGACTGTGAAAAAAAATATATGTCCCCTCTGAAATTCGAAACCATGTTAACCAGTGTTGCATCCAGACACTCTACAAATGAGCTATTCGAGTTCATGACTGACCTCCCGTAGGACTGTAATGGATACACTGGTCAGCCACAAGGAAGTATATAGTCAGCGTCTTATACCTAGGTTCAGGATCCTCTGACGATTACCTACAACCATCTAACAACAATTCATAGTGCACCACGAGCTTCCTAGTTTGGTGATTACATTTCAAAACAACAGGAAGTGTTTTTGTATTTCCCAATGAATGAAAAAAAAACGATATTGTTTTTACTGACGTTTCGCTATTTAATGCTAATAGCTTTATCAAAGTATTATTAAACCGGAATTTACAAAATCTCAGCATATATATAACAAACAGTTAGGGGGGGAGAAAACAGACATAGGTCAAGTTAAAGGGACATATTGAAAGTAAAAATAGCGATGAAGATAACTAAACCAAATAACAAAGGTAATAGTATGTCTGTTATGGTATCGAAATAAAGTTTACTAACTTGATCATCGTTCGTCTGTCTGGGGGCATTTTTCATTGTGAAGCTGGTCAACTGGTAAAGATAACAAAACCAAGTGTAAATTGTTGCATTTGATCATTGTCTAACATTATAAAAGTAGTGCGTGTTTATTTGGTGAACTTGCTTATCACATTCGTGTTGATTCTGTCACTTTATGGGGGAGGGAGGTGTTGTAACCAGGTCAGATTCTGTTTCAGTCCATCACTCCTGTTCAGACAATTTTGATTCCACTTGATATGAAGTGCTTCTGATATTCGACGTTCTTTGTGATTCCTGAAGTTTTTCTGGATTATTTCAATATTATCAAAATCATATTTTTTTGGCCTGATTCTATAGCACCCCCTAACTGTTTGTTATATATATGCTGAGATTTTGTAAATTCCGGTTTAATAATACTTTGATAAAGCTATTAGCATTAAATAGCGAAATGTCAGTAAAAACAATATCGTTCTGTATTTCATTCATTGGGAAATACAAAAACCTTTATTATAATGAATACAGCATATACCCAATGCCCAAATTTTTTCAAACTGTTAAAAGTGAACTTGGTTTGGACATATATAACCAAATAAAACAGTCTAGACTAATTTAAATCACTTCGGTCAGATGATAATTATTTGGCTGAGGCAGAATATTTATTTTAATGCAATCGGACAACATTGAAGCCTGACTTTATACCATAAATGTAGTTGGTTATTTGTTGGCTTAACTTCCCTAGATGGGCAGTAATTATAAATGATATATTTTTACTCAATAAAATTGAATTGTTCTCACTGGTACAAACCAATGTGTCTAATGCTTTATTTTCATCGGCTCTAAAGGTCAGACGTAATCAGTGGGCAGTAGTAGAATCGAACCCACAAATTTGGAATACTATTATTACCGTATCATTATTTTTATCATCACTGATTATCATAACACTCATAAGACCACAAAAGTATCAAATTTTGTTAACATTTTTCAACAGTGGACTTACTTCATATCCCATATTCTGTCACCACGATGTAGAACATAGACATCTGAGCCAGATTCATCGGCTCCTTTAATCGATGATACTACTCCTAGTTTTGTATTAACATCTTTAGACGGCCACTGTTGATTAAATTCAACTAGAAAGCCTTGTGAATCGGGTAGCTGAAGAAGAAACGCAAGGATAAAAAGGCAAAAATTACTTTTTGAATGTTCTATCCAACATTTGTGTACAAGTTGTTATGGCCAGAAATATGGCAGTAAGCCAAGTGTTGACAAGAGAACTTTCACTTTCTTAAACAACAATCAATACACTCAAGAGAGTTGCTGAAAGTACACCGGGTTTTAAATAACCCTGTTAAGCACTAAATTCGCTGATAGGTTCAAGAAAACTGCCAATAAGACTCCGATCCTCATTGGGAGTAGGATATATAAAGAGTGCTTTAACTGCACGATAACTACAAAATATTGTTATTTCAGGGTCAAAAGCTTATTTCGGGCTAGAATTTGGATTATATAACAAAATAGACAGGTGGAGAGTAACAGTAAATTAAAAATAGATGAACCTCATGGGCGTCTGGAATTTCCACTCAAAGTTTCACATTATTATATAACAAAAGCTTTTCCTGATAAGATGAATATCTAAGATTAGAATGACAGTTAGCGAGAGTATTCTTTTTGAATACAGTTGATGTAAGTTACTTCGGCAATATACTTGAGTATATTCGTTTTTAAGTTACTTTGAACAACTTGAACAGGGAACAACAACCCTGACAATGAACCAACCAAGAAACCTTATTACCCCCCCCCCCCAAAAAATGTGCAGAAGAAACGGAAGCTGGACTGGACATACACTGAGAAGACTGTTGAGTGATATCATGAGCCAGCTAAGACCTTGAATGGATCCCGAATGGGAAACCACAGCTTTGGCCTTCTAAGGTGAAATGGAAGAGATCTTGTGAGAATAAGGAAGCTTATGGGAAGTCGTGGATTCAGCTTAAAAAGAAAATAGAGAACAGGATAAAATGGTGATATAATGGGGAAGATTTGTAGCTAGCATGGATGATTTTGAATTAGCTGTGTTCACTGAGCTGGTCGATTTAATTGAGAAGCTTTCGTCATCCTCCATCTAGACAACATCTTCAAAGCAGTTTTTAGTACAAAATCAACTTATTTAAATTCTCCATGAATAATGTTATTGTATCTCCTGGCAACCACTGGCGTCACTAGTTGTTAATTTATGTCTCTATTGATCGTTTTTATTGACTTGGAATTTGAACTTTCTTGTCACATGTGATTTACTTATTATTATTTGGTAAATTTGGTCGATAGTAATGTGCTTGTTAATCGCTGGCTGATTCACTTGAGTATCAGGCTTCTGGAAATTCTCTGACTGCATTTTCGGTATTTCCTCTATTTAAAATTTCTACACTATCCTAGTCTAATCGGTGCGCATAATTATCCACATGCATTGATATGAAAGAATATATATCATGTCTTTTTACAGCCAATTTGTGTTCTTCGATGTCCATTTTGATCGATGTAATGTTTATTGCAGTTCATACACCTTATTTTGTAAATTTTATCTTCTTTTTCTGTTGGAGTTTTCGGTTTGCACAATGTCAAATGAAGGGATTATACTACCTGGATTGTGTGCTATATCTACTTATTTCAAATGGTTTTAATATTCTAGCTGTTATTTCAGAGATATTTTTATGTATGATGGCAGGATGAATTTTCTTGTGGTCGTTGATGATGGTTTCTTGTTATTATTTATTATTATTATTATTGTTCCCTTGGGTTCCTAGTGGAACATAGGGCTTCAACTGCATGTCTCCACTTCCTTCTGTCTTCTGCTGTACTTTTCACTTGCATCCATGTTAGTCCATACTGTTTCAGCTCCTCTTCACACGATCTCCTCCATGTCGCCCTTGGACGTTCCACTCGCCGCTTCCCTTTCGGGTTCCACTCGAGCTATGGCCTGACGCGCGATGTCACCCAGCGGCCTCCTCAGCGAGTGTCCAATCCATCTCCACTTTCTCCTGCATATTTGTTGGGCGATTGGTTCTTGTTTTGTTTGTTCCCATAGTTTCTTGTTGATGATTCTTTCCGGCCATCTGATCTTCAGTATAGAACGAAAACAGTTGTTGGTAAAGGTCTGCAACAGGCTGTTGGAAATATTCTTTGTGACCCGCCAAGTTTCTGATCCGTATAGAAGAACTGACTTGACGTTTGTATTGAAAATCCGAATTTTGTTGTTGATGCAGAGTGACGAAGATTTCCAGATTGGTTTCAGGTTGATGAATGTGTTTCTCGCCTTCCCGATTCTCGATTTGACATCCTCGTCCGTTCCTCCTGTAGTTGAGACAATGTTCCCTAGATAAGTGAAAGAAGTAACCTCTTTCAAATCCCTTCCGTTGATGGTGATAGGCGCTGGATGTTGTGTGTTGTTGGTTGGTTATTTTCATAACCTCCGTCTTGTCTATGTTCACCTGGAGTCCTGTCTTTGCTGCTTCTTCGACCAGTTTGTCGGTTTTCGCTTGTAAGTCTTCGATTTTGTGTGACATCAAACATAAGTCATCCGCGAAATCCACGTCTTCTAGGTTCTTCACGTCGGTCCAGGATATCCCTGTCTTCTCGTTTCCCACTGTCTGACGCATAATCCAGTCCACCACAATTAGGAATATCATTGGTGATAATAAGCACCCTTGTCTGACTCCTGAGTTTACTCCAAACGCCTCGCTGAGTTTTCCATTGTGGATCACTTGACATGTGCCGTGGTCGTACAGCTGTTGAATAAGGTTGATGAATATTTGGGGTACGCCATAGTACTTGAGTAGTTTCCAAATTACTTCGCGGTCAACGCTGTCGAAGGCCTTCTCAAAGTCTATAAAGTTGAGGTAGAGGTTTGATTGCCATTCCATGCTAGTAATCTAGGCGAGGTTATGGTTTCTTGTTGATGTTATGAAACTTTTTGATGAAATTATGAGGAGATCCATTCTTTTTGAAGTAAATTTATCGGGTAGTTTTCCTTCATTCTCTTCAACACCCGAGGTGCTACAGTGTGTTTGAACTCTTTTAAACAATGTCTGCACATAGATTCTTTTGTGGATATGCTGCTGAAGCCTTATATTCCACTAGGGACCTAAGAGAATATTTAATATAAATAACAGAAAGATTTAATAAACTTCCTTCATTTTCATCCTGAATTTAACAGATACTGGACAGTGGCTTTGTTGAACAACTCTTGATTCTATAACTACTTCACGTATGTGACAAATAAAACATGTTTCTATCCTTTCTCTAATTGTATCCGCCTTGATAAGTAGTATGGTTGGAGGACACTACTTAAGTAATCATGCGTCTTCGAAAGTTTCTCATCAGGCTTTATAATTATCTAATAAAATTACTAAGTATTCTTAAGATGTATAAAACCAATGTGGTTAACAGAATTAATGATCAGGCATATAACTTTGTGGACAATAATTGAGATGATCGATATTAACAGAAGTGAGTTTATCCAAAGTGTTTATACCATCTAGGCAGTCAATCATTATGAATGTGTAGGTTGAACATGGGGTAGAGATTAAAAATAACCACTGTGTGATAGTGATTAGATAATGAGGTATCTGATTTCATAATAAATCGTGAAACTAAGATTAAAATATGTAACTGCAACACAGTATGGTAATCATAATGAAGATAAAATTAACAGTAAAGATAACATTTACACTTATACAGTGACACCAAGATAAACGACAATTCCAGTTGTATCTGCGTCGAAGGTGAAGGCCATCGGAGGGTGAGTGATTGGACAAACTCTTCCTAAACACATTAGATTAGGCTGAAAGTGTCTGTGGCAATCGCCTCAGCTATGCCTATCAATCGACAGCATAAAAAACCTGGAGAATCGAATTGGAACTGTATACAGTTTTGTGAAAACTCTACTATTGCCAGTTTTATGTGCTGCTGCCAACTCATAGGCGCTACCTTGGTATCGTGGACGGGTTTGTGTATCAGGATGACCCAACGAGCCACAATGACTAGAACTAGTGTTCCCACAAATCCTATCATGCCTAAAAAGTCGTTTGGATAGCAGTTAGACTAAAATCACTTGTCACCATAATGTAAGTTGTTTACACTATGTTGGTGGTATGAGAGTGAAGTCGTACTGTTCTCGAATAGGGACGTAATGGCAGTAAACTCTTTCCATCAGATGGCGAATAAGCTAGCTCAGCTGCTTCTCCGTTCTGGAGAAGGGGCGTTAGAAAAAGTCGATCCTGAAAATTTCATATCTCGACTTACCTTGTGGCTGTCCATGGCCACTGGTAAGATTTTGATATGGGCACAACTCCAAAAACCAACTCAAACAGGTCATGTAGTGTGAATAGCCTCAAGTGACTGTTCCTGGACTCTGTGGTCACGCTACATTAGTGCTGCTTCTGTTTCAAGCACTTCAAGAGGAAATTAACTCCTACAGTGTGGGCAGCTAGGATGTAATAATCGCCCAGACACTTTCATGAGCACACTTTCACTACCTTATGCGCTACATAACGCATAGAGCTTACCACTCCTTTTCCTAACCAATATAAACAAAACTTTCAACAATGTTGATGACGGCCTTACTGTCTCCTGAAGAGCAGTGAAATATATGAATGTACACGCTGAAGTAGCCAGACTTGACGGCTTATGCTTCACTTGAAATAGAATTATACAACAAGTGGCGAATTTGTCAGCCAGTGTAACTGGCGAGTATTTGTCCATACACAAAACTGATGTACCCCACTGATCATAACTTTCCACTAGAACTTCAGCCAACTTGATTAATGGTTCGCTATCTAATGTCAAATATACGTAGAATGCATGGGCTACCTAAAGTTCATAAACCCAACGCGCCCATGAGACCATTATTAGATATTTTTAACTCACTATATCATGAAATAGCAAGATGGCTGGGAGACATGCTTAAACCACTGCAGTTAAAAGTGGCTAAGTATAGTTTGTAGGACACTTTTGAATTTATAGAGGAAGTAATAGATAAGATGATCAATGATGAAACAGTGATCTCTATAGATTCACTTTCCTGTTCACTAATGTCCCTTTATTAGGGACCATCGACTTCATCTGTGAATCTCTTATAGAAAATGATATGGACGTAGGTATATCACCTCAAACACTAAGGGAACTGCTACTCCTTTGTATGATGAATGTGCAGTTTCAGTTTAGCGACGAATTTTACTGCTAAGTGGAGGGAGTAGCAATGGTCTCAACTCTAGGTCCTTTCTTCGCCTATAAGTTCATAGCAAAATTAGAGGATCGTCCAGTCAAAAACGTAATCAACGAACTCTCATTCTACTGTAGATATATGAACGATACTTTTATCTGCATAATGATAAATTCAATGCCGAGGTCCTTCTCCAAGCATTCACTATGGCTCACCAAAAAACTAAGATCATATATGAAAAGGAGAAAGACAACACCTTATCATTTCTCTGTGTCCTGCTAACAAAAAGGCAAGACGGCAGGCAGTATTAAGGGGGAAGTCATGGGTCGGCTAATACACCCATTTTAAATCGTTAAATCGCGAAAAAATTCGTTGAAGTCTCGATGAGGAAAACAGATAGAAAGAAATGCCTGCAGACGGTGTAGAAGAGACGTATATATATATATATATATAAAGTTGTCTCTGTTATCGGAGTTAACTCCGACTTTTGTGACTATCTCATTGTGTGGGGATATTTCTAAGTGATCAGTCGGTTATACTGTTGTGACTGTAGGCGCATTCTATTCAAGTCAGACAACAACCACAAATCAATGACATTCCGTTATAACAGCTGCAATATGTACAATTCCTTTCTGTATTTTAATTATTGTTGGGAATAAATTGATTATCATTATTATTATTCTGAATTAAATGTCTGTCTGAACGAAAAATATTCTTTTCATTAAATTCTCTTCAGATCCTTACAATTATAAAATATATATTTATCGTTACAAAAGTAGCCAGTTATGCGGCAGATACATTTTTACGTAGATTAACAGATAGGTTTGCGTTGGTGGCACAGCGATAGAATACTTGCCAGCCACACATGTGGTCCGGGGTTCGATCCGCGGCCATTGACGCACTCCTTTACCTCACTAAGCCAGTAATAAGACTGGTGAAGAGGAAAGGCTGGGCATGGGGCTAGCAACTCCATTACGTAAAAATAAACACCACTGCCGCCAAAACTTCAAGCCTCTAACTGGAATCCCTATGTTCCACTAGGAACGTGAAGGAATGAAAAACAGATAGATTGATGGATACAGGGCACCGTATTGACAGTAACATCACCTTCAGGGTTATAAACCACATTCTGAAGTCATTATCACGCACAATTCGATTACATCTTGGACATGAAGCTGATGGTGTTGTAATACGATTGACTAAACCGGAATTTTGCATTCAAATAGAACACGTTTGGACACCGTACCTACAGAGGCGTAGTGATTAAAATTTCTCCTCCCATCTAGAAGTGCTTCTTCCTCCTACCTCATTTTCTTTTTCTTTGTTTATTATTTTTGGTTTTTATTTTATCTTCGCTCTAACAGTTTTAGCCGCAATGTTTTATAATTTATACCCTTCATCGTAGCATTCTTTCAATGTTAAAGAAGTTTCCATTTATACTATTCTTAATTAACAATAGTGATATTCTCTCTTTTGTCACTAACATGCCTCCACTTGTTTCATTTAACATACTATTTATTCCATGATGAATTATTATTCACTGCAGCCTTACTATTTCCCATTTAGTGCACACGCTATTCCATACATACTAGCCACTCACCTGACATCTTTTAATGACTTGTTAGTTTTCCTTCCACACACACACACTGTATGAATAAATTACAGCTGATTAATCACCATCATTATGTTGCATTTCACAATATTTTGCAGCTACATTCAGTTCAGCATGTTTGTCACACACATTCACACACACAAATATCATTTGTTTTGTAAAGAGTTGATTTGTAAGGATTAGATTTGTTTTTACGAGTTTGACCACGGACTGATATCAGTTAGAGAACCATTGAAAACCAGTGAAAGTCGTGACCAGTGAGATCTATCCAGTCAAGTGTGAGGATGGATGTCCCACCGATGAAATTGGTTGGTGGTCGCGCTAAATTATGAATTGAGAGAAGTTCGAATTTATGGGCTGGCCATTGAGGAGTCGGGTCCCAGTGGCTGACTGATATACGAGCTTGCCTTGTAACCGGAAGGTCCTGAGTTCGAAACTCGTTGGATGGGTGGGTGCGTACTGTGGATGATTCCCAAACTAGGATGAAACGGCTGTCCGGTACTCTCTGCTAGTTTTCAATGGTTCTGTAACTAATATCAGTCCGTGATCAAACTCGTAAAAACAAATCTATTCCTTACAAACCAACTCTTGAAAACTGATCTAATGCTCGCTAGTGACTTGCTACAGGACGGAGTTTCCTGGAGTCCTAGTGAGAAGTTGTGACTAGTGGGGTCCATCCAGTCAGGAGTGAGGATGGAGTTCCCACTGATGACATTTATGTTGTCACCCAATAACTTATAACTGGCTACTAATGTAACGATAATAATTATTTTATTTCATAACTGTATGAAGCTGAAGAAAATTTATTCAGAAGAATATTCTGCATTCGGACTGACCTTTAATTCATGATGTGACAATATTTCACACTCTTATTATTATTATTATTAATATAAGTGAAATCACTTTGAGCAGGTCTCAAAATAATAATTGGCTTTCAAGTCAGTAGTGATTACATTTTTTTCAAGAATGACAATAAAAATTTAACAGATCATTCTCATCGAACTCAGAGGAATCTAATACATCAATCTTAGAGAATAGCTGTTATTACTCACCTCATAGGTGTAGTCTGAATTTGTTTGAAATTGATAACTTTGATCACCATAAGCTGCGCATGTGGTATACTTCCATGCAATAAGAATATTTAAACTGACTATGAGGATAGTGTGAAATAAAAACCGCTGTCTAACGGCAAATGTCATTATATTGTTGATAAGGAGGTGTGTATTCCGGCTACAGCTCACTTGGATTTATCTTCTATGTACATATGTTACTCAAAGACAGCGTAAATTCCTTTTATTATTATTTTTTTAATGAGTAACTGTAGAATACTCACGTTATGCAATGCTTTTCATGTCCTTATAAATATATATATATATATGTCTGCAGATGAGAAAAGTAGTATAAGCTCTAGCTGTGATTGGTTGATCGTGATTATACACACTTAAGAGATGGAGAAAATCAATTTATATACTTGACAAATTGACCAATCAGATTTGTCCTCGCATGTTTACTTTGTACTCTGTTAGCGTGGATTTATACTCACTTATTTTTGTAGTTTGTCCTGTTTGTTTTACTTTTTTTTTCTTAATCTTTTTAATTTTGTTTCTATTTTAGTCTTTCTCGATGTACAGAAATATTGATTAGTTTAATTTCTATGAATGCTATCGTGCAATAATCTAGAGTAGAGTTTTATAGCGTCTATGTGTATGTGTGTGAGACATTATGCGAAGATGATTCTGCATAGAACACCTCAAAAAGTGCAATAAGTGTGATACTTGTTATTAATTATGAACGGAATAAACTAGTGTAAATTTGATCAATATATTGAATATAAAGACAATAGTTACGTTGGAATTCCACATCAGATAAATTTATTTTAAATATCACACAGTGATGCAGTATTAACAGCTTCATAATTTGCTTTATAAATATTTTCTCTGCCTTTCATTGTTGACTGAAACTGTCTGCATTTCTCGTATATGCGTTGCATGTTTGGTGTTGATTCGATGAACGAAGATTTGGTGATTAACCTCTTCCTCCCTCTGTCTCTCTCTACTTACCTAACTATATTACTTTTTAATACTCTAACCCTGTACCCCCCTTTTTGTGATTCTAGGTTATTTAACTTAGCAGAGTCAGTTATTCCAGGTCCAGCTAAATTTTCATGTTGACCCCAATCTACTAATATGACCTACGTAATTGACCTAACAGTCGTTACATGGAATCTGGTAAATTGTACTACATTCCCTAATTGGATATATCGAGTCCTTTAGTTTGTCTCTAAATGTGTTGGTTGGTTTAAATGCCACCCTAATTCCAACCTCATTGAGAATCCTACGTAAGGCGTCTGATGTTCCTTCTCTATACGACAGCATTACAGAGGCTTTGAATTCTATATTATTTTTGTCATTTTCATCGCTAATCTTATTTTTCTATGGTTCTTCATACAATTCTGAATAAATTCTGGTGGGTAGTTATTTATTGGTAATATTTTGATTATTTAAATCTTCTGATTTACTAGTTAGGCTTCTGGCCCGACAGTGGACTCTGACACGACTGACATCTAGTGTCGGCAAGGATTTGATACCATTGGCCGTGATTTATTTTATTCAAACTTTAGGAAGACCATTTTGAAGATAATAACAGTGAATTGGTATTCAGCTGGAAAGCTTGTTTTCGAATTCAGTGTTTCAGTTTTGATTACTGGTTGATATTACCTTCGGATTCATTGAAGACGAAGGAATACTAGACAGTACTGTTTATTCATAGTTTGGAACTCTACATCATTAAATGCTGCATGACCCCATTCACGGGTAACTGGACCAAAGACCTTTAGGTCACAAGGTGAGCATATATACCATTCAGCCAAATGAACGGAAACCAATGCCTAGAGATTTCAAATTTATGTCAACTCGCGTTGCGTAGTGCGACCACCAGGCAAAGTCACTGGTGAGTATTCGTCTGCACACTCAGACTGATGCACCCTACTGGTTACAACTTCTCCTCAGAATTCCAGCAAATGTCGTACTGTAATCAGTTAATTATTCGCTCACCTAATCGACTTAAGACAGTTTTCTTAATATTACCAACAATTACCAAAGATGACCTCATCAATGTGTATCTATGAATTCCAATGCTCATGTGGAGCTATTGACATTTGCTATACTCGGAGGGCTTTATGCATGCGCGCACATGAACATGCAGTTGTATATTTGGGTAGATCGGTAGCCTAATACGGAAATAGTACACTCCTAACCCACTTGGCATGTACTGGAAACCCAGTAAAGCCAGAAAAGGCGCCCTCCGTTATCTACTCTACCGTGTTCCTGGTAATCTATGTAGGGGAGCTTCACTGCATATTCCATGAGTAGCTGAAGCGGCAGCATTCATCACCAGAAGACGTGGTCTTCCTTTACAGAAAAAGAAGGTTCAACCTCTGTCTTTATCTTGGACTACTGTAAGATCAACAAATCCTCCATAAACACTGGCACTTCAAATTCTTATCGAAGTTTGTATTCTCTTCTCCTTCCGTTCATTGACAAACGCTCATTTCAAACCTTTTTCGACTTCATGAGTTTTCCTATGATTTCTATTACCTTGGGGTTGCGTAATGCTTTTCTAAATTGTTATTATATTTACATAACCCCCTTCATTCAACTTCACAAAATTCATTATTAACAGATATTCATAGAGCAATACTATTTCTAAGTTTACACCACATCATCATTATTATTTCACCATAACTATTATTGTCGTCATTTTCACCCTTTAACATAGGTCTTGTAAATTTGTCCCATTTGTTGGCTAATTTTGTGTACTATTCATACTGTCTCCCACACCGATAATTACACTCGCCCTTGAAGCATGTACTTTTGCTGACTACGCACATACACGCACACACCAATGAATTACTTCATCTCATTTTATCTCATGTTCTTATTGATCATGCATATTCTAAATGATAATAAAAACTAGCTAACTGACTATTATTCCTGTCTATCTTACACTTGTTCCACAATACACCTTCTAATGTAATTCCAATTCGCCTTTACTGGCTAATGTATTTTAGAAATTAATGGATCTATAATTGTGGAGCACGAAGGAGAGTTTATTGAAAACAATTGTTCGCTCTAACTATATTTGTTCAAAATAAAAATAAACAGCCATAAGGAATTCAATAATTCCACAATAGATGATAAACCTTATGACTATTTACTGGACAGGAGATATCTATTCCAGTGGAAACAATTCGGTTGACTTCTGACACAAGGACAAAATGTTTGACAGTTCCTGGACGTTCTGCATATTCAAATTACCTACACCATGTAACTACAACTTCCGACAATCTTAAAAATTCGCTCTCTATCCATAGAAGTTCTGAGTCTGCTATCAACCATATTTAAGGAGAATGAAAGATTGTCAATCTCAAAGACACCTTGGACAAACATTTCACACTGATAGCATATCTCCACAAGTAGAAAATAATTCATACTCAGATAACTCGACAGTTCAACTAATTGCATTAATGTACTTCGTCGGATTAGTTAACGAATTGATAAGCGTAAACATGACTTAAAGAAATGACCCATCAATCGCACCCGTCAATATTGAAGCCAAGTCATCACGACTCACAGAGAATCTGTGTTCTTCACACAAGCTATCACTAGACTGATGTCAGCAGAATACAAAACAACTGTCCACCGATACATACATATATTAGGAAAACGCTTCCTTTTCGACAGTTAGAAAACTGTCATATTACATACATACAGAAAATGAGTGAGATAAATTAAATCATATGGTATTTAAGAGACACCAAATCATTGAATGGTCGGTCATCAAGCAGACAATGAATTCTTGAGAATATGTGAGAGGCTTCATTCATCTTCCTAATGACACCTGATCCAACACCATTCTTTAGTCTTTTCATTGATGCAATCAGATCACATATTGAAAAGTTTCTATGACAACAAACACACCGATTGTGAATGCGTTTTCATCCAGACCGTGAGTAAGTTTAAAGAAATTAGATGATGATAAAACATTGTGTTGGAGATTCGACACTGCAACCCCTCCCAACAGTACAAGTAATCTCTCGTGGAACGACGAGGAACAAAACAGTATTTAGAGGCTCGACAAACTCAAAAAGCGAATGAAATCACACTTAGTCATAATACCATCTGATGAAGTTACACTCTGAATGATTGTCATTACATCATGTTATCTAGAATGATAAACAAACGTCAGGAAGAGAATATCTATCATCTAAGCAATAAAAAATATGCCTTTATAAAATCCACTTAAAATATTATTCTCACTCTGTCACCTGATGGATTATCGTGATAATGACAAAATTCTCAAGGATAGCGTTGGATCACACAAGTGGAATACAAAGACATGAGAAGTTTAATCGTGTGAACAAGTTCAAGTAGGACAATGGTAGTTTTTCCAAGTATGTGAAAATTACACACTCTAGTACAGTTTATACATGCATACTAGCAATTACTTACACAATTATTAGAATAATTTTAAGTGTTAGGTCGATTCGTGTACAAATGTCGCTTCGTGAAACTAGGCAGTGAACACACATCCTGTCCAGTATCCGAATTCATATAATTCAGTGTTCGAGGCACTCGTAAGTCTAGTCGCATATTTGTAAGTTGTATCACTGTAATACTGAGTGACACAGCTTCAAATACTAGAGGGAGCGAAATATGAGTATCCTATTTACAAATAACTAAATCATCTTATCCTGAATGCCCACAAAGTTCTTGCTACTGATAAGTGTCTCAAGTTAGTCAGAAGGAAGCCCTACTTCACTGAAATCCACCATGTTTCGGCATCAAAGTGATCTGAACACCAGACGGGCTATCGGGCCGTCTGCATCAATACTGTTTAATATCAGTGATGTCAAACTTCCCATTTCAGTCAATCACCCGGAAACCAGCAATTTCGCAGAAGTGGAAGCTTAAAGTGAAGCAGATACCGATCATCGTGATTAGGAGAATCTAAACAAGGTGATATATTTCCCTCACCTGACCTCGATTGCATAGTTCTTATCACAGCTGGCACAGATGACGATGTCAAAACCACTCAGTAACTACACAGTATCAAGGCAGGCGTTCAGTACTCTGAAAACAGTATACAGATGTGTGGCAGTTGACAAAACGAACAAGATCCAAATTTTCGATATTAATGTCAATTCGGTGTTTGTATATGTCTAAGAGACTTGATGCGCGTCATTTTAAGCATTTCCAACAGGCTGGAGACTTTCATCAACAGATGCACTCGCCCGATAGTAAAGGTCAGATGGCTAACCAGAAGGGATGAGCAGTAAGGAAATCTGACACAAAACTGGCCAAGTATCGAGTGAAAAGTGCTACTGAAATATAAAGGTCCAAAGAGGATCAAATGCACATCATGCACTCCACCCACTACTAGTCACCATACACCAAATTACTTCAATCTACTCCTCAGACATCATCGAAGCATTCGTAGTAGGAGCCGACTTATTACGAGGGATTGAACATTTCGACTCAGTGAATCAACGGGAGAGGCGAAATT